TTGCTTGCCTAGCCTACTGTTAGCTCATAACAAATGATGCACACACTATATTGTCTGAAACCTGATGCAAAAGTTCAGACATCCTTTGAAAAGTCTAAAGGCTATAGATGTATCTACATATGTACACATATATGTTAAAAAGTGGTCACCAAAACCAGGAAGGAAGAAGAATTGTTACAGAGAAGAACCAAGTCTGACTCCATGCTGGAACTGTTTCTTTGACTTGTTTTTTGCTGCTGTTGCTGTTATAACCATATATAGTAGCCTGCCTCAAAGGCCCCTGCCACTCTGTTAAACTGTCTTTATTCAGTTCATAGAAAGATAATCTGACCCTGCCCACTTGCGAATGACTGCCAAAAAAAAAAAAAAAAAAACCAGGAGAGAAAGAGAGAGAAAGAAGAGATTCAACACACTCCTTCCAAAGGCTGGCCCTTCCCAGAAATGTTTTGCAAGACTGAAGACCCTTTTTACTTAACTTCCTCACTAACTCTCCCACTCTATATTCTGCCTTTTGACTTTAGTTCCTCATTGCTTCTCTCTGGTTCTATAAAAGAACCTGAGGTCCAGACCCCAACAAGACAGTTATTTTGAGACGCAGTCTGCCATCTTCTCTGTCAGCCAGCTTTCCAAATAAAGTTGTATTCTTTGTCTCAACACCTCATCTCTCTGATTCACGGGTTTGTTGTTCAGTGAGCAGAGTACTTGGACTCAGTAACAAGATCATCTGAACCCAAAAGCCACTTTATCAGTTCAGTTCAGTCGCTCAGTCATGTCTGACCCTTTGTGACCGCATGGAATGCAGCACACTAGGCTTCCCTGTCCTTCACCAACTCCCGGAGCTTGCTCAAACTCATCTCCATTGAGTCGGTGATGCCATCCAACCATCTTGTCCTCTGTCATCCGCTTCTCCTCCTGCCTTCAATCTTTTCCAGCATCAGGATCTTTTCCAATGAGTCAGGTCTTCACATTAGGTGGCCAAAGTTTGGAACTTCAGCTTCAGCATCAGTCCTTCCAATGAATATTCAGGACTGATTTCCTTTAGGATTGACTGGTTTGATCCCCTTGCAGTCCAAGGAACTCTCAAGAGTCTTCTCCAACACCACAGTTCAAAAGCATCAATTCTTTGGCATTCAGCTTTTTTTATGGTCCAACTCTCATATCTATACATGACTACTGGAAAAATCCATAGCTTTGTCGGCAAAGTAATGTCTCTGCTTTTTAATATGCTGTCTAGGTTGGTCATAGCTTTTCTTCCAAGGAGCAAGGATCTTTTTAATTTCATGGCTGCAGTAACTACCTGCAGTGATTTTTGGAGCCCAAGAAAATAAAGACTGTCACTGTTATTCTGCCTTTTATTCTTCCCTTTAGCAACTCTATGATCTGCCGTAAATTTCCCAATTTTAAAAATACTATCAGATTCTATGGAATAATACTGTTTTTATTAAACAACTAGTTAGCAGTTAATAAAGGTACCAATGTTATACAGATAAGGAAGGGACAGTGCTTTTAGCTTGGAAACATTCTTATCAAGTAAGAGTTTCCAATGAAACACCTGCTGCAGAGAAGAAATAATTCCGACTCCATGTTGGAACTGTTTCTTTGAGTTACTTTTCCTTGCAGTTATTATAATCATACTTAATGGCCTGTCTCAAAGAACCCTGCTACTCTGTTTGACTGTTAAGTGCCTTTTTTCAGCTCATAAAGAGATAATCTGACCCTGCCCATCTGTGAATGACTACAAAAAAGAAAGACTAACACATTCCATTGATGCTTTTGAACTGTGGTTCTGGAGAAGACTCTTGAGAGTCCCTTGGACAACAAGATCAAACCAGTCAATCCTAAAGAAAATCAGTCCTGAATATTCACTGGAAGGAGTGATTATGAAGCTGTAGCTCCAATACTTTGGCCACCTGATGCCAAGGGCTGACTCATTAGAAAAGACCCTGATGCTAGGAAGGATTGAAGGTTGGAGGAGAAGGGGACAATAGAGGATGAGATGGTTGGATGGCATCACCAACTCAATGCACATGAGTTTGAGCAAACTCAAGGAGATGGTGAAGGACAGGGAAGCCTGGTGTGCCACACAGTCCATGGGGTCACAAAGAGTCAGACAGGATGAGCAATGAGCGATTGAACTGAACATACCCCTTCCAAAGGCTGGCCCTTCCTGGAGACATTTTGTAAAACCAAAGACCCTTTTTTACTTAACTTCCTCACTGCTTCTCCCTCTCTATTCTGCCTTTTGACTTTAGTTCCTCATTGCTTTTCCCTTTGGTTCTATAAAAGAACCTGACATCCAGGCCCTGACAAGATGGTTATTTTGAGACATCAGTCTGCAATCTTCTCCATCAGCCAGATTTCCAAATAAAGTCATATTCCTTGCCTCAGCACCTTGTCTGTAAGATTCACAGGCCTTGCATGCAGTGAACAGAGCAAGCTCGAACTTGGTAACATACCTACTTGAGATAAGACTAGCCTCTATACTAGGTTCCCAGAGTCAAGATCACCTGAAGCAGTTTTTGTTGGGTCCTTGGCAACTTCTGCATTATTTCAGCTAACTCTGGTATTATAGCTCACACTTTCCCCAAAGATGACACTTCCTGGGTAGTCTGGAAGGCTTACATGACAAAAAAGATTACCTAATGCTACATTAGATCACCCTGGCTTCTAGCTATTTTTTAAAATGTAAAGGGATGGAAGAGGAGGCCTGTCAGTTTTTCTGTCACTCCTACTTTCAAAACAGAAGATTTATGGGAGGAAGCCAATATATATCACTTATACAGGATTTCTTTCTGCATCTTTGCAACTATGTACAGTAAGAAGCCAATTAAAACCCAAAGCTTTCATTTCCCAACATACCCAAAACAGCATCCAACTTCTCTACATCTGTAACCTTTTTCCACAGCATCAGTGAACCCTTGCTTCCAGGCTTCCCTCACTCATAACCCTCCCAAGTGGAGGCCACCACGCCCTCACCTTTCTGCAGGAAGATGAGAGACACCTACCTCATCTTTCTGCACACCCACCACTTCTTCAAGTCAAGAAGTTTTGTCTCTACCCAGTGTGTTAATGATCTCTAAATCCTCATCACAAGAGTCTTCCTTCTGTTCCAATATATATAACTCTTCTAAGAACATACATTTTCTCCCATCCTTGCTTTTTTATTTCAGCACGTTTTTCTTTGTGTAGGCAAACCTCAAATTCACTGGTGGTTAAGGCTGGCATAAGTAACTACACAAACTACTGACAATAAGACTTCTAATACAACAGATCAGTGACTATAACAAAAAAAGCAGCAGACTCACAGATACAAAGAACAAATTAGTGGTTACCAGTGAGGGTAGGGAGGGGGAACAACACAGGAGTTGGGGAGTGGGAGGGACAAACTACTGGGTGTAAGGTAGGCTCAAGGATGTGCTGTACAATATGGGGAAAGTAGCCAATATTTTGTAATAACTGCAAATGCAAAGTAACCTTTAAAAATTGTATTAAAATTTGAAATGCAAAAAAGAAAAAGGAAATATCCTATTTAGAAACTATGACTTGATTAAAAAAAAAAAAAGACTTCTCAAGACATACATAAATCTTCAGCTCTAAACAAAATTACCTAAGTATCACACAGACATGTCAAAAGCAACATTTATAAAATGAAACTCTTAAAAAAAAAAAAAAAAAGGAACTCTTTTTCCTGTCCACCCTGCTCTACAGATTCTGTTTCCTGTTGTCCAAACTGGAAGCCTCAATACATGCATGTTATCAATACATGCGTCTCTAGTAGGGTCCATACATAATCAGGCACTAGCTCCTGTTCATTACATAACCAACACATAGCTGACTCTGCATCCCTGCTGCCTTCATTTTGGCCCTCACCACCTGACACCTGAGTTACCTCAGTAGTCTCCTCTGGGTCTCCTCACACATGGTCCATTTCCATATGGCCACCAGTTATCATTCTAAAACAGATCAACCACGTCCCACGTGGAAACCACTCCAAGTCTTGGCAAGTTTCACCCTATTACTACTGCACCCACCCCTAATCCACACACTAGCCCCCACCCAGTAGGTACTCACCATTCTCCATCATGTGTTAAATCTGAGACTCAGACTCACAGCATTCCCTGTGCCTGAAATGTTTCGCCCATTCACACTCTTCGATGTTCAGTGAAAGTGTTGTGGCTTCTCCCTCTGGTTCCATGGCACTTGTTCTATCCCTTACCTACTACATGCACCATAATCTACTGCAATTATTCATTACGCTGTCCCTTCCCAGTTAGCACCGAGGATAAAAGTTACTCACTTCCTAAATCCAGCAACAGACCTGGCACACAGCAGGCACTCAGTGTTTGCAAACTGAATTAATTAACACGCAGATGGCCAACAACCTCACTCTAATTCAAAAACAAACAAAACTGAATTTTTTTCTCCTTCAAAGAGAGAACACAGAAAATCGTACTAAAAAATCAGATGTACCTGTATTAATTCTCATGAGGCACAAAGAATTGAATTTAAAATCTATATCACAAACTCTTCATCAATGAAAACCACCACCAAGAAAAGTAAGCATTTTTATAACATTCGGTTATTCAACACATTATTTTTTGGAGCGTTTTTGTGCCAGTCACTCTGAGGGATACTGGAAACCTTCTATAAACGCTGGGAGCTCATTCATTCCAAAATGTCAAAATATTCTCCTTTAATTACCTCACTTAGTCTCCCATCAGGGAGGCAGAATGGTTATTTTAACCCCCTATTGACAGGATAGGAAACTGAGATCAGGTAGTTTATGTGGTTTGACCAGGGTCAAAGCCAGTAAGACAGAGATGCAGAACAAACAGTTACCTTCTAAACCCAGGTCCACTGCTTCCTCCACTATTAAATCTGGAAACTTGCCCTAGCACTCTTATTCCCTCTGAAGAAGGGATGAAAAGTTAACTTCAGTCTTGGCCTTAAAAGCATAGAGAAATGAAGTTACATGTGCACAGTCAAGGGTCAAGACTAACCTGTTCTCCTTGCACACAGTCACTCTGTCTCCTCCTGGTATCAGCTGCTTCTGTTCAATCACACCATAGCTTTCTCGACAAATCTATATTTAAGGGGGAATAAAGACATGTTTCAATTTTGTTGACTACTTATCTTTCTAGACCCTAAATGACTGAGAAGCCTTAGGAACAGATGTAGCTTAATTACTACTTACATTACCACAGCAGATTCTTGGGAGGAGAAAGAATCAGAGAACATCGGCACTTTATAGGACAGTTTTAAGACATGGGGTTGCCAATAAATGCAATCAAAGAGAAAACATGAACTGCAGAGAATAAATTATACATATAGGAATAAAGTGGCTTCCCTGGTGGCTTAGTGGTTAAGAATCCACTTGCCAATGCAAGAGACATGGGTTCAATCCCTGGGTCAGGAAGATCTCCTGGAGAAGGAAACAGCAACCCACTCCAGCATTCTTGCCTGGGAAATCCCATGGACAGAGGAGCCTGAAAGCTACAGTCCACGGGGTGGCAAAGAGTTGGACACGACTTAGCGAGTAAACGACAGCAACAAACAACAACATAGGAGTAAAGAGGAAATATGCTTCAGTAATTTTCGTAAGTGTATGAATTCATTCATTCATTCATTTATTCAACACATTTACTGAACTCCAGTAATATTCAGGACATTTTGACACTCATATGATCCACCAATTCCATTTCTGAGTATATATCTAAAAGGAACAAAAATACTAATTCAAAAAGATACATGCACACCCCAATGTTCAAAGAAACACTATTTACAATAGCCAAGGTAGGCACACAAAATAAGTGTCCCTCAACACATGAATGGATAAAGATGAATGGAATACTCCTCAGTCATAAAAAAGAAGGAAACGGTGCCATTTGCAGCAACATGGATAAAGGGTATTATGCTAAGTGAAATAAGTCAGACCAAGAAAGACAAGTACTGTATGATGTCACTTATAGGCAGAATCTAAAAGATACAACAAACTAATGAATATAACAAAAAAGAAGCAGACTCACAGATTTAGAGAATAAACTAGTGGTTACCACTGGGGAAGGGAAGAGGGGTGGGACAATATAGGGGTAGGGGATTAAGACACAAACTACTGGGTATAAAATAAGCTATAAAGATATATTGTACAACACAGGCAATATAGAAAATATTTTATAATAACGATAAATGGAGTTTAACCTTTAAAAATTGTGAATCATTGTACTGTACACTTGTAACTAATATTCTGCAACAACTATACATTGATGATAAAAAGATACTATGACTAAAATAGTTTGGTTCAGAGAAGTCTCTGAATTTATTCTTTGATTTGGAGAAAAATTAAGCTAATTATGACTTGTAAGCATAATAAGAGAGACAGCTATGGTCATAAGAAAAGAAAATCCTTACCGTGAAGTTGAGACAGAAAGTCTCCTCAATATCTTCCCCAGGGTAATCTAACAGTTCTTGAAGACTCCTAACCACAGTGTGACAGAGAAAAGAAAAGAGGTAAATCACACATGGCAATAGTGCTTCTATCCTAGTCACATGTCCAGATTATTTGCAAGGAAATGCTACAAAGGAAGGTTCTTGAATGAACATAAATCTAGACTGAAAGTCACGGTAAACATATTTTGAAAAAAAGTTACAAGAGTTGACTTGTAAGATGCTCATTAATTTTTCTCTGCTCCTAGTGACAAATCTCACTGAAATTTATGAAGAAAATCAGACAGCTTTGTATCTGACACACTTATGTTAACCCTAGTATACTCTGGAAGTAGATAAGTGAGGAGATGAATTGCAGTGGTCCTACAGATTGGCTTTATCTGTATGCATCAGAAGGATAATCCTCCCATCATAAAACACGAGCTTCAAAGTCACTGTGTCCACTTAGGAATCTAGTCTTACTTGTTAATGCAAGGGGCTCTGTGTGCAAAGAACTTTATTACCTGCCACATTAAAGAATACTGAAATCTGTTTATGCCAACAATGGTCGTTATCACAGCTGTCATGACAATACATTCTTATAACTAGACTTCATTCACACTTCTTCAGTGAGCTCAGAGTCTGGCAGTTCCATAACGAGTTGCCCAGGAAGAAAATTTTTTGTGCAAAATTTAAATCTTTTTTCACTTAACCAGCCAAGTTCATTACTTGAAACATATCATTCTCAGCCAGGTTAGCAAAGAAAACAGCACACATTTCTGTCACTCTCAGTTACCAAAAAGTAACTCTGCCTGGTCTCCTCTGCCACTTTTTAATATTCCTTCTAAATTTTCTTACCTCTTTCTGTGCCTCACTCCCCTGCCCCACGTCCCTTGTGATTTCTCTGTCTTGGTGTCCTATACTGGTGGTGTGACCATCTCATTTCCAGAGAGCACCTTAGAGATTACCCTTTCTCTATCTCCATCTTAAAATTAGTATTCTTTCCTTATTAAAAAAAAAGGGGGGGATGTTACCTCCTGCTTAAGCCAAAAGAACTGTACTGTTTACACAAAGCCAAGGATATGGTGTCTTTTTATATATTAAATTTCACCTTATGCTACCTAAATTCAATACACAGAAACTCAGAATAAAAGGAGTTTTTAAGAGACAGAAAGAAAATGACTAAAAATATGTCTCTACTGTTCTGGAAAATAGTATGGAAGTTCCTCAAAAGGCTAAACATAAAGTTACCATTTGACCTAGCAATCCTACTCCTGGGTACATACCCAAGAGAAACAAAAATTTATGTCTACACAAAAAGTATGTAAAAATATCCGTAACAGCACTATTGGTAACAGTCAAATTGTAGAAAGAAGCCAAATGTCCATCAGCTGATGAATGGATAGACAAAATGTGGTATATCCATAAAACAACATATAATTTGACAATAAAAAGAAATGAAACATTGATACAAGTTACAACTCAGATGAACCTTGAAAACATGCCGTGTGAAAGAAGCCAGACACCAAAAACCACATATTGTATGATTCCATTTATGTGAAATATCCAGAAGAGGCATGTCTACAGACAAAGAAAGTAGATTAATGGTTGCCTAGGGCTTGGGAGTGGAGAAGGCAATGACAACCCACTCCAGTACTCTTGCCTGGAGAATCCCAGGGACGGGGGAGCCTGGTGGTCTGCCGTCTATGGGGTCGCACAGAGTCGGACACGACTGAAGCGACTTAGCAGCAGCAGGGCTTGGGGGATGAAGAAGTTGGGAATGTCAACTAAAGAATACCATGTTTCTTTTCCAGGTGATGAAAACATCCTAAAATTGATGGAGTAAAGGCTGCACAACTCTGTGGATGCAATAAAAGTCACTGAATTATATACTCTTAACTGGGTGAATTGTGCAGAATGCAAATTATATCCCAATTAAACTACTTTCTAAAAAAGACTCCATGAGATAACAGAAAAAATACATATACTGGTCTCTGCCCCCAGTTCCTTAGCACAGAGCTCCCCAAATCCTTGTAAATTCCTCTGGGATGAGGGCACTAGAAACCCTTAACCTGTGGGATCCAAATCTGTCTCCAGGTAGGTGTCAGAACTGAGATAAGTTGTAGGACACCCAGCTGGCATCGTGCAGAATTACTTGGACATGTGGGAGAGAACCCCACACACATTTGGTGACCAGAAGTACAGCACCTGTGGTCATGGTGTGAAAGTCAAGGAGACAAAGAAAAGAGAAATACAAAAGGATGGGGAAATCTGTAACTTAAAAAAAAAAAAACACAGACTCCCTTTTCAATACTTTCTCCCCTGCTATTTATGGACCATGACAAATCTCAACGTCCTTATATTTTGTTCAGGATAAGAAAAGCAGAGATTGTTCGGATTCCTGGGCAGCTATGACTTCCCTTTTCCTTTTTCTCCTTCTGTCCCTAGAGTGACCCAGGCATTGTTTCAAGCCAGCAGCTGTGGACTTCCATCTTTAGACAAAGCATACACAGCACAATCGAATGACAACCTCTAACTTATACAAGTGATGTTTTCAACCTTTAATCTCAGTTTTCCAAGCCAGGCTCCCATCTTTCAGCTCCGTACCTTCCTTCTGTGGGTGACAACTCTTTCAAGTCTTCCAGGCCAGGCTTCACGTTCAGTAGCTTCTTATAGAGAGCCAACGGGAAGTGCAGGTCCACCACAGTGGAGTTGTAGATGGCAAGTCCACAGGTTATGCCAATTAAGTGAAACCAGTTGTGCTCTACGAAACACTTTCAGCACAGACGCAAATGTGTTACAAAGAAAAACAGTGCTTGCACCCTCAAAACCTTCTGTGATTTACCTTAAAATATTTTCAGAATGAAAGAATAAAGATCTATAATATTGTTACCTTCTGAAACAGAGAAATATCCCTAACAAAGTTCAACTATGTATGTTTGTGAATGATATAAAAGAGGTTAAAAAAAAAAAAGATGTCCCTAGAAATTACTAGAATACTGTTACAAAATTAATATATGTCCATTGTTTAACATAAACACGAGCACAAATACAGAGTAATGATCTGTTTTATAATAGTGATTTTTATCGGAGGTGGAAAGTATTAAAAAAAAAAAAGTTCAACTGTCCCCCAAAGATGCAGTGTAAACAAAGTTAAGCATTTACAGCTCACCTATGATACAGAGAACAGCTTATCTTCATTTAGAGCTCTCCTGTCCAACAGAACTTCCTGCAGTGATGGAAACATTCTATTCTGCTCTGTCCCAGATGTCAGCCACTACGTATGTCTACTGAGCACCTGAATGGTCGCTAGTACAACTGAGGGAATGTGAAATGCTCCAGGCAAGAATACTGGAGTGGGTTGCCATTCCCTTCTCCTGGGGATCTTCCCAACCCAGGAATCGAACCCAGGTCTCCTGCATTACAGGTGGATTCTTCACCATCTGAGACACCAGGGAAGCGCAAGCATTATTTCATTTTAACTAAATAACACTGAAATTTAAATAGCCACAAGAGGCTAATTGCTACTTTTTAGGACAATGCAGATATAGGGAGAGAAGCCTGGTAGGAAAAGAAATAAACTATAGTCTGCTTGAAATGAAAATGCCTTTTAAAACTTAGCTCTCCTACTGCATTTTCAAAAATAAAGTGTATGTGTATATCTGTATGAGTATCCATACACATACTATCATTGCTATTAAAATAAGATATATTTGACAATTACTTTTTATATGTCATAAAACCAATTTCGTTATCATACTCTTTTTACCCTTTGAGGATTTACAAAGCTTGGAGCTTATCTACTAGAAATGGAAATGGGACTGATGGGCAACAAAACTCAACTATGAGGTCTTGGCAACAGGTGAAACATGAAGACTGCATCCACTCTTCATACACATTAAATGATTATCTTTGTTATAGCTCCCCTTTGCAAACATTAGAAGGCTAGGGACTGGTCTGACAACAAAAAGGAAGTTTAGTTCAATCTATCTGTTGAATGATGACATTACTAACTTACCGTATCTGAAAACCACAAGAGATTTGAATCCTGGTAGTAGGTAAACATTCCATAGATGGGATTCAACAATTCTTTTAACAGTAAAAGAAAGAACTCTTTTGTGACGCCACCTGCATCCACTGCTTCTTCACCATCAAAAATGACCTTAAAATAATGAAAGCAGAATTAGTACTTCATGGAAATCATTGTCATTTTATGGTTTTTGGGTTTTTTTGCAAATTCTTTCCAAAGTCAGGACAAAGAAAGGAAGATGTTACAGAATACAAGAATACACTGCTGCAATGAAACTGCAAAGTGTATCTGTTGATTAACAAGACACTTACAATCACACAAGATTTTACTGGGCACTTCAAGGGATATAGACAAAGTCAGAAGCTTACCAGATGTCCACAGAAAGTTTACCATCAATTTGGGGCAGAGAGGCAGACATTAAAAAAAACCAATTCAAGAATAAATTTCAGAGAGTCAGATACACTCCGAGGTAAATGTTCTGGCACACAGAGAAAAGCAATGACTAACCTGAGTAAAGACAGAAATCTCTCTCAGTAGGGGTCTTACACACACTGATGAATATGAAAGGGAAAAGAGCAGTTCAAGCAGACACATCTGTGAGGGGCTATAAAGAGACCCACTACAGATCTAAACGGAGCACGCCGGACCCAACCACAGTAAACCAAAGGACGAGATTTATTAAGAGTTTTCTACATGCCAGCCACTTAAATTCTATTAACCTAATCCTCAGAATAGTCTTACGCACAGAAATTGCTATTATCATCCCCACTTTACTGGAAGCGCTCAGGCACAGAGCTAAAAATAAAAAGCACTTAAAAAAACTTATCCTGGGAAATTCCCTGGCAGTCCAGTGGTTAAGACTCTGCACTTCCACTGCAGGGGGCACAGGTATGATCCCTGATCAGGGAACTAAGATCCCACATGCCACACAGTGCGGCTAAAAAAAAAAAGAAAGAGAAAAATTATCCTGAATATTGTGCTCAAGGTTGCCTAGAGCAGGAGGAGAGTAAAGGACTCCGATTATATGGATGCCAGTAGAAGACTTAACTCAGACGTAAGAGTCTCATCTGAATTAGTGATTGAAAACAGGCGGCAAAGAAAGCACCTTCTGTTTGCAATATCAAAAATCCATCCCAGAAGTTCTAGGGAGAACTCCCAGGCAGACTGATGGGATTGATGCTACCCACTGAAATTCTGAAAAGGATGACAGTCTCATGGATACCATCAGTTTCTTGTCTATTACATTTCAGAAATGGAGTTTACAACAGGATTGGAAACAGGAAAGTCTTCTGAAGGGAAAGGTAAATGATCTAAAACTTCAATAATTCACTAAATATTTACTGACCAGCTGCTGTGTTCCAAGCATTGTGCTAAGCCCCAAGAATACATTAAGTGGTAACACAAACATGCATAGTTTATGAGGAAAGACAATTTCTTAATCATTTCAGAGTACTAAAAAGGGCCTATCAGAACAGACGACCAGCTGCCCAGAAAATTTCACTACTTTTCTGTTTTCTTTTTTACCTTGTTTTTCTGAAATTTTTGACATCCAAAGACTTCCTAGATGCTGGCCTGGTAGTTTTACCTAATTGAAGCTTTAGCAGTGCTACTGTTTGCATGGTTTGGGTAGAGTGGGAACAGGTACCCGGAAAAGAGCAGACAAAGAAGGTCCTACAGTCCCTCAAATAATCCACTGGCATTTTATCTGATGTCATGTTGAGATGGTCTGTTTGGTGACTGGACAGAAGGAGGTGAGTAAACTCTTGTAAAATGAATGAAAGAAATGATGAATGCTGCACTCCATGATTTTAATAAGATCTCTGCTGCTTCATCTGATGCTGTTTAAAGAAACCCAGGAAGGTTACTTAGATAAATATAATATGGGGCTCACTTTGAGAGGCTTTTTCAAATCAATATCAGAATGAATGCTCAGCTCTCTTAGGGCATCTCCAACAAGGTTGCTCCTGCGAACGTGAAGGACCAGGAAGGGGCTTCTGGCCAGCAGAGGCTCCAAGGTGAGCAGCATGAAGACGTTCTGCAGATTGGCCCCGTTGACTGCCACCTGGAACAGCACACCCAAGAACACAGTTATCACCCAAGAGCGCATCTGTGAGTGGAGGCGGCTGTCAGCTGTGCCTTTGGACCAGGGGTGGGTACAGGGCAGGGCAGACATGCTGCATCTCCACCTTGTTCTTTATTTTCCTCCTAACTCTTCCAATAGATTTTCTCAGTCATGTTTACAAAAGACATAAGTCTTTCTAATATGAACCCAAAGAGATTAACTGAAACACTTTATGAATCATACAATCCATGACTCATTTCAGGAAAATGCTTTGGACTAAGCGGATTAAGACTGAAATAATATCTTAGTAGAAGAAAGTGACGATAGAGAGTGGGTAGAAATAGTGACTTTCGAAGTAGCAGGAAAAGAAACCCAATAACCACTTGCTAAACAGCTTTAGTTCTTTGAAAAATGTCCATTTTCTCTGGAGAAGTTTTAAATTGTCAATATGACAGACATATCACTGTGAAAACAGATATATAGAGATAGATATAAATAAGAGCTAGAGACAGAGTCAGAAAGATGGGGAGATGGGGAGAGAGATGAATGAAGTTACATATCTACCAGCAGTAGGAATTGATAGGTTTGGATTGCTAGTTCACAAACATCTTTGCAGGCTTGCCAAAACCAATTATATTTTACAATAAAAACATGTGTTTAAATTAAACAAATCTCTATAATTTAAGTTTTGGCTCAATAAAGAACTGCCAAGCTCCATTTAATAATGTATCAAGGATCAGCAAACAATGGCCCATTGACTGAATCCAGCCTGCTGCCTGTTTTTATACAGCTCTTGAGCTACTAATAGTTTTAACATTTTTAAATGGTTAAACAAAAATTAAAAAAAGAATATTTCACACATGTGAAAATTATGTAAAATTCAAATTTTGTGCTACAACAGAGTTTTATACTTGAGACCGTATGGCCCACAAAGGCAAATATTTACTATACGACACTTTATGAAGACACCAGTCAACCCTCAGTTTATGTAAATGTCCCTTCACTTGTATTTGCTTTATTCAATAGAGAATTGCTGAAAATTTTTCTATAGGTTCTAAAAGTTATACTACAACTTTACCCAAATGAACTTTCTCCTATTAGGAAAAAATCACAACTGAATGTGTAAGATGAAAGAAACCCATAATAGGAAAAAATAATTTTTAAAATATGTTACCTGCATCTGCAGTTCAGCATCAGTTTGCAACATTTTGGTCTTGGCTTGGGCATCAAAGATAAAAGGGTAGGAACAAAGCGTTACAGCATCCTAGAATGAAATACATTATTGGCAATATTACATATTCCACAGAGAATACTGCTGGAAAAATACATTAATAAATTTTAAAGTATCATTTACCTGCATCATAGATGGCCGAGCCTTCTGTGTAAAGAAAAATAAAGTCTCTTAGTTGGATTACAAAACTTGAACTTTTTATCTCCTACAAATAACAAAACAAACAACAAAATAGATAACCTATCTGACTATTTGGCCATGGAACTAACACCATTTAAACAGCTGACTGGAGTTATGATGGAATAGACCAGTTGTTTTGACAAATACAGACTGAGAAAAACACTAAAAACAACTCAAAAAAAAATTTAAAGGACCTTTACAAAAACACCATTTCACTAACTCCATAATTTACAGCATTAATAGAATTTTCGTTTATAAAAAATCTAATACCAAAACAGGAGCTTTACAACCATGACTTCAGAGGTTAATCTTGTTAGGTAAAATGGATAATGCATAATAAAAACTTCATTTGTCAGCACGTTAAGTCTACCTCTTACACACACACAGGTACACACAGTTACTCTTGGGAGAAATCAAATATTAAGAAAGTTGTCCATAACTAGGTATTTAGAAAGTCGTCCCTGGCTTGGCCTACACAAGATATTTCATCAGTATGTAAATGAAATCTGAATAAACTTTTAAAGAAGGGAATAACAGATAAGCATACTGCGTTTTATTGCTCTTCACTTTATTGCATTCCACAGATACTCTTTTTTTTTTAAATAAACTGAAGTTCTGTGGCAATGTTTAGTCTTATACCACTATCAGCATCGTTTTCCCAGCAGCATTTTCTCCCCTTATGTCTCTGTGCCACATTTTGGTAATTCTCGCAATATTTCATATTTTCTTATATCATTTGTTATGGTGACCTGGTCAGTGACTTTTGACACTACTACTGCAAAAAGATTACAACTTGCTGAAGGCCCAGATGATGGCTAGCATTCTTGTTTAGCAATACAGTATTTTTTAGTTAAGGTTTGTACATTGTTTTTCTAAACATAATACTATTGCACATTTAGTAGAATACAGTATAAACATAACTTTTATATGCACTGGTTAACAAAAAAAACTTGTATGACTTGTTTTATTGCAATATTTGCTTTATTGTGGTGGTCTGGAAACAAACCCACAATATCCCCAAAGTATGCCTGCAAATAAAAACAACCACAAACATATCTAATAGGTAGGTTACAAATATATCTAAGAGGTACGTTAGTTTCATTTATCAGGAGAAAAAGGAAATCTCTCCTAAAAGATTAAGCTAATGAATACTGTTTGCTACATAACCTAACAGAAGCAATCAGACAAAAAATCAACAGTATGGATCACGCTGACCTGGAGCAGTATTTCACAAACAGAAAACCATGGATTTAGTCCCAGAAATCTGAGAGTGTTCTATGCATTTTTTAAATTTTGTGTTTTTTCTAAAAAAAAAAAAAGAAAAAATGATATCCTAAACAAAATAAAAACACATTCTGAATGAACTCCTTATAATGATGTGTTACTATATAATTTGCATTTATTTTAATGATTGCACTGGTGCCACGGTATACTGAATTGTCCAAGGAAAGGGAAAAAAGCAATTTTCCTTTGTAAGTGATGCATTTGTGCCCAAGAAAAGGCCACAGCAGTCCTGACTCGCTGCATGAATGAAGGTTTGATAGCAGCTGAAAGGACAAAAGAGAGTTGAGTCATCCCCGGGTGCACAGGACAAGCCACAGAACTCAAGTCCCCGGGCCTGGCAGCCTGCAGTCCTAATCACAATGCAAGAGGGGTCTCCCTTCAGAAAGGCATTCTTGCTCATCACATTAAATCCATGAGGCTAATTTGTGTTTTATTTATTTTAGACTTTTGTTAATATTTAATTTGTAAATCTGCTTTGGTTTTCTAATTTTAAATGCTATATGAATAATAAGTGTATATATACTTCCTTTTATATTCACGTATATTTCAATGAAAGCACTGAAAAGAAATTCCAAAAAAAATCACCCTGTTTATCCTTTAGAACAGGTTCCTTCTCTAGACTGAGAAGCACTAATTAGAGAAAAGAGTCCAGTCCAGGGAGACAAGGTGTAGAGTCTTACATACAGAGCCCAGGCTGACTTGATTCATTCCCATGCCGGCTTCTCTAATTACTCTGACTTTTGGAATTCAAACTAAAACACACACACCATAAAACAGCATTCTACAAAGTTAGAATGTACCTTTGTAGAAATATCCTGGGTAGGTACAAAATCCTACAAATAGGCAGGTACAAATACCCTGTGGAAGGTACAATATCCTGGGGAAGTGTGTACAATATTTAAAATTTTCTATCCTCCTTCTCAGAAGAGATTTTATTCTAGGCATTATTTGTCTATTCTCAAGACAAAAGAAAGATCTTTATCATGTGTGTTGTTCTATAAAGCAAAATAAAGTTTTGAACACTTCAAATAGATTTAACAGTGACCATAAAAACAGTTGTTGGCTTTACAGCCTCCCAGTATACAGTGGGCCCTCTTATCCACATGTTCCACGTCTGCAGATTATACCTAGCTCAGATGGAAAATGCTTGGAGAAAAATGACAATTCCAGAAGGTTCCAGCAAGCACAACTTGAATTTGTCGCACACTGGCAACTATTTACATAGCATTAACACTGTACCAGGTATTATAAGTAATCGAGAGATGATTTAAAGTACTTAGGAGGATGTGCTTAGGTTATAGGAAACTAACATATCATTTTATATGAGGGACTTGAGCATGGAGAATTTTGATATGGCGGTGGGGACTCCTGGAACCAGTCCTCCATGGATATGGAGGGACAACTGTACCTAGTAAATACTAGTATTTTTGTTGGTACAATGTAGTTATTTCAGGCATCAATCAGCAGCTCCGTCCGTATTTCTTAGCTCTCTTCCACTCTAGTTCTCCAATTCTCTCCTACCATCCTCTCCCTGCAACCCCCACCACAAACCCTGAAAAAGCCCAGTTTTGGAGGTTAGGCTGATCTCCCTTCTGGAGGGCAGGGTTATCATGCTTTCAGCAGGATACGATGGCTGGAAAGAAATGACTGTTGGGAACCAGAGCCAAGGCAAGAGAGGTGGTGGTCCAGAAGACCCCACCGCAGGGGAGGACCGAGGTGCTGGCCCTGTGGAAGGTGAACAAGGGAAGGGTGTTCAGTCAAAAGAAGCAGCAGGCCTATAAAAATGTCTGTTTATGTGTCTACAAATTTTATTTTTTTTACAAGTCTGAGATTTTGTACTTAACAGCTTGATTTCACTGAGTTTTATTTTGTAGATGCTGAATATTTTAGAAATGGTATTAGCACTGGCATTTCCAGATTACAGGAACTAAATACTGAAACAGTAATATTATGATTCTGCTTCCTGACTGCTCTCCCTAACCGGGAAAGCTGTATATGAACTGGTAAGATATGTAACCCTCTCCTGAGAGGCTACCTCGCCTGGGCCATTCATTCTCCAAAAGTGAGTCTCCCAAACCTAAACCTAGCAAAGTATTACTGGTGGGTCACATTTCAAGTGTTCCTGCTTGAAACGGGTAGCACTGTCACCTTAAATCATTTTTCTCAAGTATATGAAATAGAAGCAATGAATAAATTCACGATACAGAAATGGAGAGTTGGGGAACTGGGAATATCTTTTTCTAATCCCAACCAGTATTTCCTAAACGTGGCTGTGGCTGGGGACAAGCGTCGCTGCATGAACACCTGCAGGTCCAGGGAGGGAACACGGGAGCCCCTGCCTTAGGGCCTGCCTGCCGCCAGGTGGTCCTGCACCCTCAGTGGGTGCCTGGCTCCCAGTGCCACTGACAGGGAGGCAAAAACAGCTGTGCACAATCCTGGCACCCGGAACAGAGACACGGCCCCGGACAACACGTACAGCCAATGTCACGTAGACTCCAGTCTTTATTTTTGAAGCATTTTCTTTGTATCACTGACTTTCTTGCTTGCGCTGCCCCATGGGAGCCCACAGTAACACTCATTCTGTGCTCTGTTTATTTCGTTTCCAAGTGTAGATGATGGCAGTTTATTAACTGAAATAAATAAGCCACTACCATCTCTTCTTTAAAATAAACAAGTCAGTCACTTTAGAATGTTTCTTCTGTACACCACAGTCCTTTGCACACACGTGTTGTATCCCTTTGTAACTCCTTTTTCACTACACTAAGCCTGTCAGAGAGGCAGCCACCATATCCCGTAGGTGTCGCCATTCCCAGCGACTAGCAGGCAAGTGATACACATCAGGTGCCCAAGACTGCTAACTGAAAAACAGCTATGAGGGCTTATGACCAGGCTTCTCTGGTAGCTCAGCTGGTAAAGAATCTGCCTGCAATTCAGGAGATCTAGATTCGATCCCTGGGTTGGGAAGATCACCTGGAGGAGGGCATGGCAACCCACTCCAGTGTTCTTGCCTGGAGAATCGCCATGGACAGAGGAGCCTGCGGGCTGCAGTCTATGGGGTTGCACAGAGCTGACATGACTAAGCGACTAACACTTCACTTCAGGACTTGTGACACGCCAGGCACTAGGTAGTTGGCAAAGTAAGGCCTTTCCATGTTTTTTCCCATTTAATTCTCATAATACTGTTAGAATTCACATTTCTAAATGAGGATGCTAGGGTTACAGAAATTAAGGGGCTTGTGTAAGGTCACACAGATAGTAGGCCTGAGCTGAGACTGAAAGCAGTTCCTTTTGACTACAGCAAAGCACGTGCTCTGAACTGTAAACTATACTGCCTTGGCTACTACACCAAGCTAAAAAATTTAACACATAAAAACTCTTGCAGTGTGAGATGTACACACAGACATACAAACATGTACACACACACGGTGAAACATTATTCAGTCATAAAAAAAGAAGGCAATCCTGCCATTTACAAAAATATGGGTGAAACTAAAGGACATTATGCTAACTAAAATAAGCCAGACAGAGAAAGATAAATACTGTATGGTATCATTTATATGTGTTATCTAAAAAAAAAAAGAAAAACACACATCCAATCTCATAGACGTAGAAGAATAATGATGGTTGCTAGAGGATGGGGGGAGAGAGGTGGGTGGGGGAGGAGATGGGGAAATGTAGATCAAAGGGTACAATCATTTCAGTTACAAGTAAGTTCTAAGGAACTAAAGTAAGGCATAGTGACTACAGTTACACAGTATTATATACTGGAAACCTGATGAGAATAATCTTAAGCATTCTTAAGACACACAGGAAACAAGTTAATCTGTGAGGTAATGGATGTGAAAATTAACTTGATCTCTGTAATCATTTCACAATGTATATGTGCATCAAATCATCACATTGCACACTTCAAATATTTACAATTTTGTTTGTTAATTATACCTCAATAACACTGGAGAAAATCCACTTATTTTTCATTACTATCATTTAAAAATGTTTAAGCTCATAAATAAGCCTATGAATATATGGTCAATCAAAAGGAGGCAAGATCACACAATGGGGAAAGGACAATCTCTTCAATAAATGGTGTTGAGAAAACTGGATAGGCACGTACAAATGAACAAAATGATCACTATCTTAGTTACTTACTATACATAAAAATTAGCTGAAAATGGATCAAAGTCTAGAATGTAAGATCTGAAATCATAAACTCAGTTGAAAACATAGGTAGTGAGCAACTTGACATCAGTCTTGGCAGTGATGTTTTGGATCTGACTTCAAAAATCAAAGACAAAAAAAGCAAAAATAAATAAGGGAATCAGATCAAACTAAAAAGCTTCTGTACATCAAAGGAAACCATCAACAATGTGAAAAGGCAGCCTACAAAATGGGAGAGGTATTGGCAAACAATATTTCTGATAAGGTGTCAACGAAATATACAAAGAATTCATACAACTCAAAAAAAAAAAAAAACAATTAAACAATGGGCAGAGAACCTTAACATTTTTCCAGAATCAACACACAGATGGCCAACAGGCACATGCAAAGATGCTCAACCTCATTAATCATCAGGAAAATGCAGATCAAAACCATACTGAGATATCACCTCACATCTGTCCAAATTACTCTGAACAAAAAATACTATTTTGGGCAAGGATACAGAGAAATGAGAGCTTCCCTGGTGGGTCAGACAGTAAAGCGTCTGCCTACAATGCGGGAAACCCAGGTTCAATCCCTGGGTCGGGAAGATCTCCTGGAGAAGGAAATGGCAACCCACTCCAGTATTCTTGCCTGGAAAATCCCATGGAAGGAGGAATCTGGTAGGCTACAGTCCATGGGGTCACAAAGAGTCGGATACGACTGAGCAACTTCACTTTCACAGAGAAATGAGACTCCTTATGCATTGCTGGCAGGAATTTAAACTGGTACAGCCACTATGGGAAATTGTATGAAGGTTCCTCAAAAAACTGAAAATAGAATTACCATATGATCCAGCTGTTCTACTTCTGGATATTTATCCAAAGAATACAAAAAACACTAATTCAAAAAGGTACAGCTACCCCTATAGTCAGAGCAGCCTTATTTACATTAGCCAAGATATGCAAACAACCTAAGTGTCCACAGATATATTCGTGGAGAAGGAAGATGAGACATACACAGTATTACTCATGTAATGAGTATATGACGGTACGGGGCCTTTCTAGAACAGACCCCCCCTAGCATCCTCTGTTTCAGCTCCTTTCTGAAGTACCTAGGTAACGGCACCTGGAGCACATTTCCTGAGCTGTGCAGCAGACACTAAACTCCCCACCAAATGCAAGAAACTACTTCCTGATGACCATGACCACACAGCCCCCAGACGTCCTGGAGCCTGAGGACTGACAATGACACTGCCCTCTTACCTCACCATCAGCCAGATGTGTGCATGGGCTGACTACACACCCTGCAACCCCCTTCCCTCCTGTGGCCACTACAATGCTTTCCTGAAGCCCGCTGGGGAGCTCAGGTGTTTTGAACACTAGCTGCCCTGGGCTCCTTGCCTGGCAGTCTGCAATAAATGCTATATTTTCCTTCCCACAACCTGGTGTCAGAAACTGGCTTTACTGAGTGCACTAACAGTACCACTCAGACAAATAGAATGGAACCTTGCCATTTCCAACAACTTGGATGGACCCTGAAGTGAGTCAGACGAAGACAGGCGCTATACAATTTCACTTATATTTGGAAGTGAATATATTCCAAGATTTGCCTGGAATCTATAAACAAGCACAACCACAACAAACTCATAGATAAGAGACAGGTTAGGTGACTGCCAGAGGGAAGAAGGGATGGAGGGTGGGCAAAATGGGTGAAGAGGGTCAAAGGTACAGACGTTCAGTCATAAAACAAATAGGTCACAGTAATATAATGCACAGCATGGTGACTACAGATAGTAAAACAATACTGCATATTTTAGTTGCTAAAGTTGCTAAGAGAGAAATTCTTAAAAGTTATCTAAGAAAAAAATTTGCAACTATGTGTGGTAACAGACAGTAATTAGACTTACAGTGACAATTTCAGTGTGTATAAATATCAAGTCATTATGGTATACACTTGAAATAATATAATGTGACCTGTCAATTATACTTCAAAAAAAATTTTAAAAACATAAATACATGAAAGAGCTTTAGCATTTTAGGTTAAAATCCAAGATATCAAGAAATTTAAACTTTAATTTCTAGTAGTATTATATAACAGAAAAAATTCCACAGAAATCACAAAAGGTCAAGTTATTTTACCCAATTTTGTATTTTTCTGTAATAACCTTAATTATTGAAGAGGAGATGAGCAGCTGGTATTTAAAGCTTATATTTGTTTATCAAATATTAAGAGAAAGGAACAATAAAAAAAAGTTATAAAAGTTGCTCACTTAAGTACTCCATTCAGAGACCACAGTCATGATAACCTATATTTTTAACACCAACAACTTCTTTTTTAGGGTCAAAGTAAATTAGAGTCCATTAGAATTCAGTAGCAAGTCACAGAAAGAGTAGATTAGAAGTCAGAACAACTGGCTTTTAAGCTGAGTTGGTGGAAAAACTGTTTAGCTTCTCTGAGACTCCAATTTCTCACCTAGAAACAAAGCAGCTTGCTAAATAATTCATAAGACTTACTTCAGCTCTTAACATTTTATGAGTCAATGAATATTTATTCATGAATTCATAAAACAGAAGTCTGTCTTCTCACAACTTCTAAATTAGCAGATGAAAATAGAGTTCATTGCTATCTTCCATGTTAAATTTCCTATGTAAAGCCATTTAGAAGATTTATCCACTTTTTTGAAAAGTATTTTGGTTTTTTAGGGTAATCAAAGCCCTTATTAAAAAACTCAATAGTCTCCAGCATGGACCATTTGGTATTTGACAAGAAAAAAATCTTCCTTAAAGAAACCTATTTAAATGACTTGCTTTTGGAAACCACTACTGACCTCCAAAGGACTTCCCTGGTAGTTCAGTGGTAAGAATCCACCTGCCAATGTAGGAGACTCAGATTCAATCACTGGGTAATGGAAGATCCCCCCGAGAAGGAAATGCAACCCACTCCAGTATTTTTGCCTGGGAAATCCCACGGACAGAGGAGCGTAGTGGGCCACAGTCCACGGTGTCAAAAAGAGTTGGACACAACTTAGTGACTAAACAACTGACCTCCAAACTCCCTGCAGGGTACAGGAAAACACTGCCTAAATGTCAGTGATGAAACTGTTAAATTGGCAAGGACTCATCTCAAACGTGTCTGCTCTGCATGGCTTCACTAAATAACCATATTATCACTCTGTTTTCTGACATCACTCAAATTTACACATAATCCACAGATCCTAAAAAGCCTTGCATATATTCCAAGCCAGTTTACAAACTGTAGAGCCAACTCAAGGGTGGCAGGCAAACCCACATATGTAATATAAGTGAGAACTAGGTCAGGGATATGTGACATTTTCACACACATAATCCCAAACAAGGCATCCTGTAGGGTTCAGGCAGCTGACATAAGTGACTCAAGCTGACTAGCCATTAGATGAAGATAACAGCAAATGATCCTTCCCTCAATGTCAAAATCAAACTGCAGTGGGGACTCTGGCATGTATAAGCCACGTCTAAAGAGCCCCTGCTGATCTCCAGCCAGCTGGCACCATCTGGGAGACAGGTCATGCCGCCAGGTCTTCCCAGTCTCAAGAAAGGCCAGAAATTCATTTTATGTTCCTTGACTTTTTAAAATTGTGGTAAAAGACACAAAGTTCACCATCTTTGCCGTGTCAGATTCATTAGTCTCAAATACATTTCCATTACTGTGCAATGAATCTCCAGAATTTTTTCATCCTGCAAAACTGAAAGTCCTAGAGATTATTATACTAAGTAAGCCACACAGAAAAAGACAAATATCATGTGATTTCACTTACATGTGGAATCTAAAAATTGATACAAATGAACATATTTATAACACACACTCACAGACTTAGAAAACAAATTCACGGTTACCAAAGGGGCATGGTGGGGGAAGGATAAATTAGGAGTTTGAGATTAACATGTACACACCACTATATACAAAACAGACAACAAGGACCTACTGTAATAGCACAGGGAACTATACTCAATATTTTGTAATGCTCTATAAGGGAAAAGAATCTGAAAAGGAACATAAAGTTATAGATAAGAAAGATGAATCACTTTGCTGTGTACCTGAAACTAATACAATATTGTAAATCAACTATACTTCATTTTTTTTTTAAGTCTAAACCCCTTAAAAAAAAAACTCTCCAATTTCTCACTAGACCCTGGCAACCACTTTTCTACTTTATGTTTCTATAAGTTTAACTACTTTAGATACCTTGATTTTTTTTAATGTTGGCAACTAATTAAAATTATGCCATTTGGGTGACTACCCATTTGTGACTGCTTATGAGTACTTATGATTACTCAAAGTACTTCAGTGTTTTAAGAATGCAAAAGCCAATCAATAAAGCACAGGTGTGACATTAACATCTAAGTCAAGGACAAATTATAGAGCTCATTTTTTTTTTTTTTTGTCCTTGTGCTCTGAGAAAAGATTATAGCTTTAAGATATGCTTCACATGAATTCTTACCATGCCTGCTTGATGCAAGAACCACATGAGGTAGTCTTCCTGAATGTCCACTAGACTGGAAATCTCAGGAATGTAAAATGTATCATATTCCACATGTTTCACTTTAAGATTCACCTGATGAAGAACAAAACAAGGACAGCTAAGACCCAGATGCCTGGAAAATGGCTTCCCATTGAACTGCGGGTAGATCATTTTATCCTACTATCTTTCCACCCCTCTCCCCTCTGGGTCTTCTCTATGCTTACCTTGTATAACTTCTCCAAGAGCTTGAGAGCTGCTGTGATATAATTGTTAAACAGTACAGGGATTAAGAATGTCTTTCTTCCTCTCAGCAGATAAACAACTGCACCTTTATAGAGGTTTACCAGTTTCGTGAAGTATTTTGGGCATACCTGAGACCACCAGTTATCTTTAGAAAAGAAAAAAAAAAGATATATTTCAACATGTGATCTTCATCAAGTATTTATGTCTTCTGTCTACTAACTAAAAACTGCTCCAGCTAGAAGATAAGCATTAGTCTAAAACAGTTTCCCAAAACTGACTTTAAAAAGAATCCATTAAGGCATTTCTGGAGAGAGGGGTGGCTGCAGGAGAACCCTGGAGTTTTTTTATAAAGCTTCATGTGATTGTTTCCCTCAAAGACTCAACCAGAAGGCTAATCTAAAATTTCAGTCTCAAGGACACATGTGGTCAAGATGCTCAGGCATATACTTTGGGCAGGAGCATCCACATATCCTAGTCCTTTCAGCCCCCTTCTCAGCCACCACGTAAGTCCTGTACCAGGGATGCAGAGGACCACACACCCCAGATGCAGCAACAATATGGCAACCGGTCCTTCCTTTCAACAGGCATCATTAGTTGAAAAACTACATATTTCTGTTTCTTAACAGACAATACTTTCTCATGACCAGACAAGAAGACTATACCACTGGTTTTTACTTTGTCAGAAACAAACTCAGTCACACTGACATACTTATAGGATGAAGTAATATAATGTCCAAGATTTTTCAAGTGTATTCCAAAAAAGATTACAAGGTAGTGGTAGGGAGAATGAAGAAAACTAAAAGGGCAAAATATTGATCATCGTGAATTTGTGTGATGTGGTTACTTGCAGTGTTCTCTCTTCTTTGAAGTATTCTTTTCAATTTCTATGATTAGAATTTAAAAACAAATTAAGTGTAAAACTGAACTATCCTGTTCTTTTTGTGCTATTCTCTCTGGGAAAATTAAAATAATAAAAATAAAAAAATAATTTAAAAAAAAACTTAAAAGTCAGGTAATATTCCTTCAGAGATTGCCATCTCTATCTTACAGTCTACTAGAATACCTGAGAAAATACACCCCAAAGAGCTTGTGAGCTTAAAAAAAAAATTAAGGACTAACACATTCATGATTATTTCTGTGTTTATATCTTCTGCAAAGATGGGAGCAATACGGAAAAGACAGTATTCCATCCTGAGCGATACAGGTCTCTACTCGTGGGGAGACCACACTCAAGTAACAGCCTAGTGCACATGGAACACGGAAGTGACTTAGCTGCAGTGAACACCTAAAAAAAATTACCAGGAAAAAAAAATAAATGAAAAGAAAAAGCCAGGTGACAGATTTTCTGCATTTGATTAATAAAAACATCTCAGGCGCTACTCCCATGAGAGACACTCTCCAATTCACTGAGGAACGGAAGGTTCTTATCTCAGCAAAGTGTCCGTAGCCTGCAAAAATCAGTGTGGACTCAACTGTCCTAAAAAAGAAAAACAAAACAAACATTTGGTAAGTCTCCACTAGGTCATTTTCTTCCTCTCCTTTTCTGGAGACCTGTGTATCACACCACAACGTTCATTTCACTCCCACCCCCTAAATTAATTATAAGAGAAAGAACAACAGATGGACACTAACGCGTGAGACACTATTAACCACTAGCAAGCATAGGAGGAAAAAAAATAAAGTCAAATAATCTAACTTTGTGAATATTTAAAAATCAAGATAAGTCTGGCATAAACTGTTTCAAATAACCTAAATAAGGGTTCAATTTGTTTAAACTGAAAATATGGCTTGAAATTAGAAATTAACAGCAAAGAAAGAAAAGTTTAAGTGTTAAGCATATTAAATGATAACAAATCTTGGATCTCAATCCAACAAGAGCCAATGGTCACACCAATAAAATATAAAGCAGAAGCTTCCGGTACTGTGCAGCAAATTCACCTAAGACTTTGCTGGGGTTTGTATCCAGCCGCAAAATGGCCATAGCCAGGGGGATAGTCAACGTTATATAATACTTGGAATCCTGGAGCAGGGGAAACTCTGGGAGTATTAAGTAGATTCTCATCGCTTCAACATCTGGTGGTGAACTCGATAACTGAGGAATCAGGCAACTTTCAAAGCTATTTAAGATCTGTATGAGAGAAAAAAGTAATGAGAAACTCAATCTCGTTACCTGATCTCTAAACTTATAAATTATCTGACAGACTCTCAACTCTTATTCACTCAGTATGCGCTCAAGGCCATCTATGAGCCAGGTACCAGTCTGGACAATCAGGATACATCAGTGAAAAGAAAAGCCAAAGGTCCCTGCCCTTGCCAATCTTATACTCTGGGGGGTGGGGATTTCCTTAGAAAAATTTAAGCTAAATAGAAAAGTTAAAGTTAGGACAAATTCCTAATGTGAGTATTTTACAGAGTTAACATTTATACAAGACTTTTGCCTTTTCATCTTACTCTTTTTTTTCCTCTTGAAAGTTGACTTATTTCAATGCAAAAATGAATTTTAAGCATGTACTTTATAGAAGTAAAAAAATACCTGTTCTAGAATCATGGAGTGCTGAGAGTTCATCAACTTCTCAAATAACACTCTAGTTGAGTTCAGATCAATTCCAGGGATTTTGGGACTTGTTTTAAAATGCTCATCAATTCTAAACAAAAAGAAAAAAAAACCATGTAATAAAAGAAAAACAAAGCTAAGACTCTGATAGGGATGAATTATAAAGAGGTCAACATATAGTTTGCACATACTGATCCAATTTAAATTTCACCTGGCAGACAAGATGCACGAAAACACTGACTTTGGGGAGACCCAACAGAATAAATCTCTCTAAATCCCTTTTTCAAGATGATCTTACAATTTAAGTCATTAAAGTATTAGGATCATCATCTAACTGTGAGACTCTCTTGCAATTTATAGGCAGAATGTTATTTTTCTGATTAACTCTTGTATTTTTGCCTCTTTCTGTCATTGTGGTACATTGAACCAAAGGCAGATGCTGTGCCTAGGTACAAAAAACATCCCTTGTGCAATGTGGCCCAGTCATCAACAAATACCAAGTTTAAAGCAAGTTGTTTTTTTTTTTTTTTAATATCGGATCTATAATAAACGCAAAGTTAGTGTATTACTCAGTTAACATAAGGGATACAATTACTTTCACTCCAGGACTAATTTTATCCTGAATATTCCTTGGACTGATGCTGAAGCTCCAATATTTTGGCCACCTGATGAGAAGAGCCAACTCATCGGGAAAGACCCTGATACTGGGAAAGATTGACGGAGGGAGGAGAAGCAGACGACAGAGGACAAGATGGTTGGATGGCATCACCAATTCAATGGACATGAGTGTGAGCAAGTTCTGGGAGATGGTGAAGAACAGGGCAGCCTGGCATGCTGCAGGCCATGGGGTCGCAAAAAGTCAAACATGATTGAACAACAACTGTCTTTAACTTCCTAACAACGAATCATTTTTCTGTTTTAAACAAACTCTCAGCCTTTTAGAGACTTAAAGAATGTCTCTTAAATTTCCACTCTTAAACATACCACATCTACTAATTACAAAAGAACTATTTGCAAAACAGACTTCTGCTTATGTGTAACAAACATATTCAGATAGCTTTAATATCATCTGATGGCAATATTACAATTTATAAAAATGTAAGCAGAGTTCCTAATATGAAGAAAATTTAATTATATAATTATATGCATTGGAACCTAAATGATCAATCAAGAGGAGTTACTTGGGATTTCTCTGTTTGTTGAATCTTTTGCACTGTTGTTCTAAAAATAAATTTGCCCAAAACATAGAAATTGTTTCTGCTATCCCATATGCAGTCTTCCATATGCTTAGAAGTATCTTCTGCTATGCTGCTAAGAAAAATCAAAAGACTTTATCTACACGTATTTATGCTTTGTTAAACTGGTCTTAGGGAATTTCCAGGTGGCTCAGTGGTAAACAATCTACCCGCCAATTCAGGAGACATAGGAGATGTGGGTTCGATCCCTGGGTGGGAAAGATCCCCTGGAGAAGGAAATGGCAACCCACTCCAGTATTCTTGCCTGGAAAATCTCCTGGACAGAGGAGCCTGGCAGGCTATAGTCCATAGAGTCACAAAGAGTCAGACATGATACCACTGAGAAACTAACAAATTAAGGCTGGATAATCTAACAAGAGCCATTCCCAACTTTCATAAAAATTGTCCTTCTAGAATAAGGTCTCTCAATCTTCGGATTGCTAACTTTTGGGGTTGTAAGATAATTCTTTGTTGGGTGGGTGGGATTGTGAGATGCTTAGCAGCACCACTGGCCTTTGCCCACCAGATTCCAGTAGTATACTCTCCACCACAGTAACAACCAAAACATGTCAAGAGACAATGCTGAATGTCCCCTGGGAAACAAAGCAGCCTGGTTGAGAATCACTGGTCTAAAAGACCAACATCAACACAAAATTTTTTCCCTGGAGGAAAAGGCTAAGTATTGATTCTGAAATTAGTTGGATGAGCTCATTTCAGTTGCCCTAATGATACAAATGACTTTGCAATCTTTAACTGTAACTAAACAGAGTTCCTGAAGCAACCTGGTACAACCCAGTTAGGGACAGAATTGGGGGTGGGGTGGGGGGGTGTGCAACTGACACACAGAACTGAAGTCTGAGTCTTCATGGGATTTCATTAGCCTTGCCATGGACAGAAAAAGGATGGTGAGAAGGTCAGGACTTGGGATCACCAAAGATCAAAACCCATGACAAGTCCCTTCTGTGGCCACAATATCTGCAGACGGGATAAGGCTNTGGGGGGGTGTGCAACTGACACACAGAACTGAAGTCTGAGTCTTCATGGGATTTCATTAGCCTTGCCATGGACAGAAAAAGGATGGTGAGAAGGTTAGGACTTGGGATCACCAAAGATCAAAACCCATGACAAGTCCCTTCTGTGGCCACAATATCTGCAGACGGGATAAGGCCTAGCAAGAAAACACTATTTACAACCTGGGAGTTTAAGCCAAATGCAATTTTCTGGTGGGCTGGGCTGGCCCTGAGTCCAAGGAGTCCCTGGAGCCTTCTTGGAACCTTCCCTAAATTCATTCTTTCTGAGAAAAGAAAAAACCATGGGAAAGAAGTCAAAGAAACAAGGAGATTATTTAAAGAAATAAGAATTTAAGAACAGAATTGTCTGCTTCCAGTTCAAGATGGCAGAGTAGAAGGACATGCACTCATCTCCTGCGAGATCACCAAAATTTCAACTAGCTGTTGAACAACCATCAACAGGAGGATGCTGGAACTCACCAAAAAAAAGATATCCCATGTCCAAAGACAAAGAAGCTGCCACAGCAAGATGGTAGGTGGGGATGCAATCATGATAAAATCAAATTTCATACCTGCCAGGTGGTGACCCACAGACTGGAGAACAACAATAAAAAGAAAGTCTCACACTATTGTAAAGGTTCTGAACCCCATGTTAGGCTTCCCAGACTGGAGATCTGACAAAGGGACTAGGAATCCCCATGGAATATGGCCTTGAGGGCCAGTAGGATTTGATTATAGGCCTTCCAGGGGACTGAGGGAAACAGACTCTGGTCTTAGAGGGCACAAACAAAACTTGTGCCCTCCATGACCCAGAGGAGAGGAGCAGTGACTCCACCGGAGACTGAACCAAAACCACCTGCTAGTGGTGGAGGGCCTCCTGTGGAGGCGTGGGTCAGCAGGGGCTCACCACAGGGACAAGAGCACTGGAAGGTCCCCCTTGGTGTAAATCCTCATGGAGTTCACCATTAACCCTACCATATAGCCCTTACACTCCGGAATAAGTTGCCTCAGGCCAAAAAACTACAAGGATGGGACTGCAACCCTACCCATCAGCAGATAATTGGATTAAATCTTTACTGAGCAAGGTCCTGACCACCAGAGCAAGACCCAGTTTTTCCCACCACAAGCCCCTACCATCAAGAAGCTTACATAAGCATCTTAGCCTCATCCATCAGAGGGCAGACAGAAGCAGCACAGTCTCACAGCAGCTAAAACAAAAACCACGTCACAGAAAGCTAATCACCATGAGAGAGCAGAAAGTTACATCCCAGATGAAGGTACAAAGTAAAATCTCAGAAAAACAACTAAATGAAGTGGAGATAGACAATCTTACAGAAAAAGAATTCAGAATTACGATAGTGAATGTGATCCAGGATCTTGGGAAAAGAATGGAGGCAAAGATTGAGAAGATGTAAGAAATGTTTACCAAAGACCTACAAGAACTAAAGAACAAAGAAAGAGAGATGAATAATACACTAGAAGGAATCAGCAGCAGAATAATGAAGCAGAATAATAAATGACCTGTAGGACAGAATGGTAGAAATCATTGCCACAGAACAGAATATAGACAAAATGAATGAAAAGAAGTGAAGACAGCCTAAGAGATATTTGGAACATTAAACACACCAACATTCGCATTATAGGAGTCCCATAAGGAGTAGAGAAAGGACCTGAGAAAATATTTGAAGAGATAATAGCTAAAAACTTCCCAAACATGGGAAAGGAAATAGTCAGCCAAGTCCAGAAAGCAGAGAGAGTCCCAGGCAGGATAAACCCAAGGAGGAGCACATCAAGACACATGGTAATCAAACTGACAAAAATTAAAGACCAGAGATAAAACATTAAAAGCAACAAAGGAAAAATGACAAGTAACATATAAGAGAACTCCCATCAGGCTATCTGCTGATTTGAAACTCTACAAGCCAGAAGGGAATGGCATGATATATTTAAAGTGATAAAAGGGAAGAACCTCAACCAAGAATACTCTACCCCATAAGACTCTCCTTCAGATTTGATAGATAAATCAAAAGCTTTCAGACAAGCAAAAGTTAAGAGAATTCAGTATCAGCAAACCAGCTTTACAACAAATGTTAAAGGAATTTCTCTAGGCAGAAAACACAAAAGAAGGAAAAGACCTACAGAAAATAAATCCAAAATAATTTTTAAAATGGTAATAGGATCATACATATCAATAATTACCTTAAATGTAAACAGATTAAAAGCACCAACTAAAAGACATACACTAGCTGAGCAGACGGAAACAAGTGCATGTATGCACTTTCAGCTACCACATCACTCTGCTTGATACCCCCTTCAAATTGTAATTATTTATATTGTTAAGTTAATCATGCTCCCATTATGGCTTGCAATTGTAATTATCTTTTATTTTTGTTTAGCTATTAATTGTGAAAACTGATAAAACATCTTTTACTATTGTGGCTATGTAACTATCACTCACTTAATACCACTGTATCATGACTGGTCAACAGAAAAATAACAGAACTCTATATCAGCAAAACTAGGATCTAATAGAAAAACCTGTAATCACTTTTTAAAATCCAGAGGCACATCAGAAACTAGCTTGAAATTTTTTGAAAACTACAAATGCTCAGGTATCGCTTTTTGGTCCAGATCTCCAGATGTTTCTAATGAGCAGTCATGTTTATAAACAACTGGACTATATGATGATCTTTTTACTTTTATGTAGTTTGTTTCACTTTTTCTATTATATATTCAGTGCTCCCATTTCATTTAGTTTATGTTCTCCAACTTCTCCATCTCTTCTCTTTTTTTTTAATGTTCTTTCTCGAGCCCTTATTAAGTATAGTAGAAGAGCTTTTGTATACATATACATATAAATACGTATATATTTTAGAAAACTTATGAATTCTTGCCTAACTAAAAAAATTTTGACATTTTGATTTGACTTGTTTGACTTAGTATGAACAGAATGTTAGATTTCTAATTAAAAAATAGATCTGCAACAAGCAAGAAAGGTCTACTGATTACCATAGGGAACTACAGTCAATATCTTTTAATAACCATGATGGAAAATAGTTTCAAAAATAATATATTTGTATCTGTATAACTGAATCACCTTGCTGTGTACCTGAAACACTGCAAAGTCAACTATACTTCAATAAAATGTCTTTTTTTAGAAGAATTTAAGAATAAATATTATTAACATTTTGGAATAGCCTGAAAAATCTTACTTTTGATTACACCAACCCTTTACGAGATACTGGCTATCTCTTGGTAATCTGCTTCTCTGCCAACTAGGCACGAGTCAGCACTGCCCTTCCCATGTCCTCTCACTCAGCATCATTAGGCACTTCCATTTCTGTGCAGATCATACGCTTACCCACTGAGTTACGGCCAACCACCACCAAAGAGAGCACAAGTCTTTCTCAGCCTTTGCTAAGTAAGCACCTGCATCACATGTGGGTATTTTAAGATTAAGGCACTTACTTTTTCTCAAGAAAACTTCCATTCCAACAGGCTGCAGAAGATAATATCTGAACAACACCACTGCTCAGAAAGAAAAATGGGGAAGAAGTCTTTAATAATTATAAATAAATGGTTATTTAAGCATCAGCAATAGATTACTCCTCTATTCCAGTTTCCTTAATAGCTGCTCCTTCTTACCAAGGTAAAGCCTTGGAAAACACTGTGTCCTGTCTCAAAACGGACAAGAACTTACATTAAAGAGTATCAAAGCTACCAAAAGAAAACTCTAGGGCCTAATAATAATGACCTTGGACTTTCCTCCCACCAACCGTCTCTAAGACACTCCCCCCTCACCTCCAAACACAAACCCAAAATAAAACCAAAAAAGATAAGCTGAGCTGTTATTTACCAACACAGAAAGTATCTCTGCAAATTAATAACTGAACAAATACTTCCTTCTGTTTTGTTGCCCATCTCAGAAAGTACAAATGAGTGAAGTTTTTATTCCTATTACCTAGATTTTCGGGGGCAAAACTGCTAGTTTCTGAGGACCCACAGTGATAATAGGTATTAGGAAGCTTGAACCCTCTTATTTAATAAAAGGGAAAGGGAAGGAACAAAACAAATATATACAGTTGAGGAGGGAATCACAGTAACTTCTGTTAATCATAGGATCCAGGTCAGGAAGGATCTTTGGAGATCATTGCTTATATCCTATCGCTTGTCAATAAGAAAACTGAGAACTAGTAAGGTGTCAAAGTCCCAGCCAAGGGAGTCTCAGTGCCCCTACCCCACTACCCTCCCAGTGAGTCTAGTCCCCCAGCCTGCTCCCTGCCCCTTCCAGACTGAACTCCCTGGCAGAGTCACCAAGCTTAGAGGGCTTCTGAGGACTGTCACAGACGTGCTCTAGGGCATTCCCAATGATCCCCGACTCAAAAAGCTGGTGTGTCCAAAGGGCTCAGGGAATTTGCACTCTACAATCTATATCACAAAGTAAAATGCTTTATACACATATCTGGAAACAACTATCACCTAGTACACAATCTGATTCATTCATTCCTAAGAATCAGATTCTGTTGAAAAATGGAAAAACTGAGGAAAGCCAATACAATATGTAAAAATATAAAAATTTAAAAAAAAAAAACTCTCTTAAGAATGAAATATACCTGCTGAAAGGACTCAAATCCTTTAACTATACTTTTTTCTCTATCTCAACTAATCATTTTGAATAGGAAAACGCTAAATTATTCTGATTAGGTAAAATAAGCTTAGATTGGAATACTTTGGAATAAGCACATGAAGAAAACTCTTGGAGTTAAACAACAATAACACTGAGCTTTCTTAGCAGAAAGGCCAACTCAAGTCTTCATCAGTTAGGATTTTTAAGGTCCAAACAAAGCAGGTTGAGGAATACACCTCGTGAGAAAATGGGGGAACAAATTACTATGTTATTTCAGGCTAAGGGCACCAGATGTGTGCCCAAAAAATGACCCCTCAAATGCAAACCCCATTTATAGTCACAACCTCAAGATGGAAGTAGGGAAAAATCACTAAGTTGGAAATTCCAATACACTTTGAAAAAAACTGAAAACAAGCAACCACATACTTGATTGTATTTGCATTGTCGTGTTCTGAGAGCTTTTGTCTCCAAACTGCTATAGTTTCATCATTTATTAAACTGGTGTAATGTGCTTGGTTCATCGTCCTGAAGTCAACAGCAGGAGAAGAATTCTGAAGGATTAAGTATGACAGCAAAAAAAAAAAAAACAGAAATTACAGAACAGCAGGGATTTTTTTCTCATTTCCCTTTCTCCATATATTCCCCACTTCGTGTTTCACTTATGTCCAGGAGCGGGGGTGCACTGCCCAGATCCTCTCTCCCTTCAGAACGGACCACTCGCCCCTCCAGCTGCCTCAGGGTAAGCTCTGGACTGCCCCCGGCTGCACTGGCCTCCAGGAACTGCCCTGGGCGCTGGCCTCACTCCCTTCCTGTCAGTGGCAGGTGAGGATGTTGGTGCCAGGCTCCAGCCCCCCTGCCTCCAGAAGGATTTCCACCTGGGAAACAGACTCTGAATCTGAGATTTCTGTTTAAAGTCTGGGGTTGGGGGCAGTTCTAGAACATTCTCAGGATGAAGGAGGCAGGATTGGGCAGAAGGGAAAGCTGAACTGCAGCTGAGTGCCTCAGCCAATCTCATGGGTGCCGTGGAGCCGGGACGGCCCTTCAGTACCCTCCCCAGAGAAACCAGACCAGGAGGACTGCTTCAGATTTCTTTCTCCCTCCGCTTTGAATCACCATAACATCAAGGTTTTCAAACTACTAATCATTTGCCTTAACTGTTCACCAAACTCCAACAATACGCATTATAAAAAGTCTATGCAATCTATATAGTAAATAATCTATGAAAATGTAATACCTCTTAATGTCTTGCTCAAAGTATACAGCTATAAATTTATAGGAAAGATAACAAAAAAGACATATCAATAATGGCCTTTAAAACCCCAAATGCTGCACAGTGCTACATAATAAGCACTTTTCCTAAAATTGCTATTTTTCAACTTATTTTCCCCAAATCTAATTATGGTCTAGAACTAGAGAAAAATTTAAAGTGCTTTATGTCTCCTGTACTTATCACTAGAACAGAGGGGGAAAAACAATATTAAAACTTTAACCAGATGATCATAAAAACACAACTTTCAAAGTAAATATTCTTGGTTATTTTCTCAGAGGGATGAGTTAAGACAGCATTATAAGGGGAAAGGAAGTGGCCATGTAACAGACTAGAGATGTCTGCCAAAGTTCATGACCCTCTGGTTTTTGATAAATATTTTAACAAAAATGTCCACAGAAATCTGTTAAGAGAACAAAAGCCATCTTGAACTGCATAGAGAAAAGCTGAGAGACAAAATAGACACTTGAAAACACACAAACAATACTGTCTCTCCACCATGGTCTTAAAACCAGTCATTATGTAAATTTTAATTACTTCCCCCCTTCAAAGGAGCAGCTGAACACAGACACAAACACATACTTAAAATATAAACATGTTACTATTTTCTCATTCTTCACCCCAAGTCCAATAAACCACAGATGCCTTGGATGAAATACAATCTCAGAATCAAACATAAAGACCCAAGAAAAAGCACTGATTTCCCATGCCTTAGAATTACGTACAGCCTCAAAAGAAAAAATTGGTGTAGGTTAGTGTATCCAAGTTTGGCTGCACTTTGGATCACCAGAGCTTTCAAAAATCCTGATGGCCAAGTTACACTCTAAACAAGTTAAATCAGAATTTCTGGAGATACTGAGTCTTTTTAAGACTGCTAGGTCTTAGTCATTAATTATCTAGTATATTTGCATGGTGACAGATGGGAGCTAGACTCATTGTGGTGATCATTTCAAAATTATAGAAATATAAATCACTATTATGTTGTGTACCAGGAACTAAAATAGTGTTGTAAGTTAATATATTTAAAAATCAAACAAAAAAGCTCATAGAAAAAGAGATCAGATTTGTGATTACCAGAATCAGGGAGTGGGGTATGTGGGACTGGCAATAGGCAGTCAGAAAGCACATACTTCAAGTTATAAGATAAATAAATACTAGGTATATAATATAAAACATGATAAATATAATTAGCACTCAATTTAGTTGCTCACTCATGTCCGACTCTTTGCAACCCCAATAATTAACACAATAATTAACAAAAGAGTCCAAAATGCAGTACTTGGGTGCAATCTCAAAAATGAAAGAATAATCGCTGTTCATTTCCAAGGCAAACCATTCAATATCACAGTAATCCAAGTCTATGCCCCAATCAGTAATGCTGAAGAAACTGAAGTTGAACGGTTCCATGAAGACCTACCAGACCTACAAGACCTACCTTCTAGAACTAACATCCAAAAAAGATGTTCTCTTCATTACAGGGGACTGGAATGCAAAAGTAGGAAGTCAAGAGATACTTGGAGTAACAGGTAGATTTGGCCTTGGAGTAAAAAATGNGGAGAAGGGCCCAGAATGAGGACTTGGAGTCTAGTAAGTTCTGACCCATCTTACTTCCAATGAGTCTTTCTTGAACTTGTGACACGGATGTTACCTTCTTGTTCACGTACCCCAGTGGGGCTTGCACGCTGGTGATGGTCTCACTAAAGGGTTTATAGTCACCTTTCAGCCTACTAGTGTACCAGATCATTTTTCTCTACTCCCTTGGATGTTAAGGGCAAAATATATCACACCTGGGCTTCCCCAGTAGCTCAGCAGTAAAGAATCTGCCTGCAGGGTACACGGGTTCGATCTCTGAGTCAGGAAGATCCCCTGGAGGAGGGCATGGCAACCTACTCCAGCATTCTTGCCTGGAGAATCCCCATGGAAAGGAGAGTCTTGTGGGCTACTGTCCACAGGGTCACAAAGAGTTGGACATGACTGAAGTGACAGCATGCACACATGCATATCATGTTCAATACGGGCATCACTGTATCATTTTACTTGCACCAAAACTGACCACTACTGGAAGCAAGGAGAAAGGAGAATGCAGATGATTCTCAGTGCCTGTGGCTCTTCTGGTGGAAATAAGTAGCCCGTATCTGCAGAGATGGCCACTGGTTGGATGTGGGTCCTCACACCAATCTGATGATGACCAGCTCTCTCGGTCTGATTGCATTCCTTCCTCTCCTTTTCTGTGTTCACCCTGACCTCTGTTACCTTTTCACAGGTGCCAGGACCTCCCACTGTGTTCCTGGGGCCTGATCTCCCCCACCCCCGCACGCAGCATGCTTCACCCTACAACTGCCCCTCCCCAGGCCATCTCCTATTTCCTATTTGCAGCATGTCTCAAAGCTATGGTTTTTCCAGTAGTCATGTATGGATGTGAGAGTTGGACTATAAAGAAAGCTGAGCACCAAAGAACTGATGCTTTTGAACTGTGGTGCTAGAGAAGACTCTTAAGAGTCCCATGGACTGCAAGGAGATCCAACCAGTCCATCCTAAAGGAAATCAGTCCTGAATATTCATTGGAAGGACTGATGTTGAGTCTGAAACTACAACACTTGGGCCACCTGATGCAAAGAACCAACTCACTGGAAAAGACCCTTATGCTGGGAAAGATTGAAGGAAGGAGGAGAAGGGGACGACAAAGGATGAGATGGTTGGGTGGCATAACTGACTCAATGGACATGAGTTTGAGTAGGCTCTGGCAGTTGGTGATGGGCAGGGAAGCCCAGCATGCTGCAGTCCATGGAGTCGAAAAGTGTTGGACACAACTGAGGACTGAACTGAACTGAAGTAAATCTTAAGAGCGTCTTATAAAAATGGAGTATGTCACTACACAGATGCTTTTTCTTGGGTCATTAAGAGATTCTTCATGTGTCACGGTAACAGAGTAAAGACATATTTTGACCAATCTCTGCATCTAAACAAATACCTAGGCTTAATAGCATAAATAAAAGTGTACGGGTTTCAGTGTTTATAAGAAAGAGCAATACCTTTCTAAGTCATCTTCTATTTTCAGTTGCTTTTTTCTTTATCTTACATTTTTAATGCATACCACTCTTCCAGTTGTTTAAACTTTAACCTGCCCTGTTTCTACAACAATATGCTACTTTCACTTCCTTCTAATCAATGTTTAGTTTTCTGGTTTCAACAATGTTAATTACAGTAAATTTAAAATTCAACTACATATATCAGATACCATATTTACAAAAGGAATGAAACTAAGTTTTACACTGAATTTCACAGGAAAATTAAAGTTGGTTAATCAAACCACTTTCTTAGAAAAGGAATACTTCAGACTGTACTACTTGTGGTCACAAAGTAATTATCCCACAAAGATTCAGGGCTTTTCATATTTTGCCTTACTGGCATGTTAAAGAAACAAAGAATAGTTTCAGCTTTTGTCAAGGTTCCTCTGTGAAGCACTGAAGCTGGGCCTAAAATAGGTCTGAAGCAACAGCTCCAACTCAGTGCAGATGGCTGCACTCAACAGAACCTTCTGCAGCATCCTGACCTGGATAATATCCAACGTCAGTATCAGCTGTCCAACCTGCAGCCTCAGACTCCACAACCTTTTCTATCAGTCACCGAGAATGATACTGACTAGAAGGCAAGAATATCGTGTGTTGAGAGATCGCACAGTATCAGAGTAATGGGGATAGTTTCCAGCACCAACAGGGCCCTTGTGTCCACAGAACTTCATTTTTCTTCCCAAGCTACTCTGATTCCTTTGTCATCACCAGCAGCCCTTCCCTGCTCTTCCAGGGGAAGTGAGGATCAATGCACTACATATGGCTAATCCTCCCCAAGCGCTGACTGAATAAAAGAAGGGTCAGGGGAAGGGAAGGGAAGGGAGGGAGAGAGGAGAGAAGCATAAGAGCAGCAGGGTGTAGAGGACAGAAAACAAACCTGTGGTGCTCACTTCAGAATGATTTTTCTCATCCAGAAAGAGGGGAATGAATTAAAGCCCTGTCACCGATAGCATCACCGACTCAATGGACATGAGTCTGAGCAAACTTCGGGAGATACTGAAGGACAGGGGAGCCTGGTGTGCTGAGGTCCACCTGGTCACAGAGTCGGACATAACTTAGCAACTGAACAACAACACCAATACTTAGCCCACGTTCTCTTCCACCTCCAACCCTAAGAGAATATCATTCGCCCACCACAGAGATGCAGGAGACAACCTGAGGGAAATTTTAGTGTGGTTTTATAAGCAGACGATAAATAATAAAGGATATCTGGATGGCATCTCTTATATTCAGTATATACTCAATCACATCAAACAAGCCCAGTGAGTTCTCAAATACCTAGCATTTGTTGCTACTTAATAGGGAAGGAAACAATAGAAAGTCAAATAATCCCAAAGTCTCTTTTGGGACAAATCTAGATATAAATAAATGTTAATTATAAAGTAGAACTCTGTGATTAAATACCAAGAAAATTATTGGCACTTCAAGGAAACAAAATGGAGATTACTTCAAAGTTTAGTCAGCTTATTTTAATAATATAAAATTGGTAGAAACAAAACAGTAATGCTGTTCTCATGTAATTATTATTCATTAAAATAAATATTGGCTCACCATTATTCCACCCCCAAGATAATAGTCAAAAGAAAATTTTACCTCATATTTGGAGCAAAGTACAAAAGTCTGGTCTCCTCCAGAGAAGATCTGCTTAACAATATGATATTTAAAGCGATCTGTCAAAAAATTTTCAAGAGCATGTTTTTCAACAGTTAAACTTTTTCCTTGATCCCCTTTTCTAACATTCCAAAACATGTTTCTGAGTGGTTTCCTATTCATTTAATTATGTCAGAGAAGTAAGAAACCTCCTCTCCTGGCTCTCTTCCCAGGACTGTTTCTACTTCAGTTAAAACTAAACATATAAAACTGTATCTTCCACTCTAACCCCCTCTTCCTCCTGCCAACTGCCAGCCAGTCCTGACCTCGTTTCTCTTTTTTCATTCTAACTCTGTCATGACACTGAAGTTTAAAACAGTCACTACTATAAGCCATAACGTCAGCTACGACACCACTTACAGCATCTGCGCGTGGAGGTCTGCAGCCACTTCCGGATGAAGCTCGCGGGACAGATGGACCTCCACGTCCTGCTTCCGCTTTGCCTCCCATCACACTGCGCCCACAGCGACACTCTCAGCCCGCCGTCTCCCTCAATTCTAACACGCCACACTACTTCACACCTCCATGCCTGTCCCTTCTACAGCCCCAGAGCACACTGCGTTCTCCGGAGTGGCGCCCCCTAGAGCATGACGGGAAGGTGCTCCTGGAATCGCGCAGTTGCATGGTACTCAGCACAGCCTACCCCTTCACCGTCCTCCACCTGGCTAAGGCCAAACCACCCTTTAAGACACAGCTCAAACTTCCTCTCTCAGGAACACTATGCTCCCAAATTACCATGAAGGTTCCTAAAACCAGCATCATATAACAAATTGAAATTCACCTACTTACATTATAAGTTTTATCCTGTAATTAAACTTTGAAAACTTTGTGGTTTAAAATTAACCTACATACTGGAGTTTTTAAAAATTGGTGTATTTCTTAAATATATGCTCCCTAAGATGAGTACAGTGTTAGAGAAAGAGAAATGTTAGCCTTAGAGAAAAAGAAATTTATAAATGACAGATAAGAGGACACCTAGCCATTTTTCCACTTTGGGGAACATGATCAAAACAAAATCTTATTTATTTTACATTTCAAGTTCCACTACATTCTTAGATGCTCATATATTCATTCCATGAATATTTACTGAGTGAAAAGGTTGTGCCAGACCCTGTGCTGTATGCCAGGTTTACAAACAGGAAATGACTCCGAACCAGGGTCTCCTGCATTGCAGGTGGATTCTTTACCAACTGAGTTATCAGGAAGGCCTTCCCTGTACTTAAGTTTCTCATACTCCAGAAGGGTACTTATGGTTGTTATTGTTAAAATTCTGATTAAGCCATAACTGTGCCCCTTTATAGTCTTCAAAATCGAAATCAGTTATTAAATCACACTTCTTTGTAATGACTCTCCATCTCCATTTAAGCTTCTGGATTTATTGCTTCAAGTTACTCTTACTGAATGACTGCCTTATTTTGATTTCCAGTGAAATGAACACTGTGTTACTTAACTATTTTTTAAGAGAAGAAACAGAAATGCCATGAAAAAAAACTCATGTCATATTGTGACCAAAACAGCAATCGTAAAGGGAAGGTAACAAGAGTTCAGCATTGAAAGCACTGGCTTTAAAGTTCACAGAGAACAACCTGGTGGTCAGCAGTGGCAGGTGGTGGGAGAGGGTAGGACAGAGTTGGGGGGCGGTAGGTACAGTCTACTGAGGGTGAGGCAGCCTACAAGGATGTTTTGTACAACACAGGGAATACAGCCAATTATTTTGTGATACCTGTAAATTGAGTGCAACTTTTTTAAACTGTAAAGTTTTTAGAAATTAAAAAGAACACAGGTTTTAGAAAGAGGCGGGCCTGGGTTTAAATTCTGCCCCCAGAATCTACATCATTTTGGGCAAGCTACTTAACCTCCATACGATTCAGTTTCCTCATCTCCAACAGGGGGATAACAGCTACTAGTTCTTAAGGTTGTTTTCAGTGCTTAGCATGGTAGTAGAACTTGGTTAAGCCTTCAATAAATATAAATTTTCATTATCAGCAACAATAGTAAATAAAATGTATATACCACAATCAAAATCCTTATGGCCAAAATAGAATTTTTGCTTTATTCTCTAGAATCTCAACTGTAGATAGTAAGTGCTCAAATATTTGTCGACTGACATTAGAATATCTCGTATTTATGCCCTCCAAAAGAACTGAAGGTTAAAAAAAAAATAATACATGTTCTATAACAAGTGTTTTTAGCACTTAAAACACCATTAAATTTCAATAAACATCACTCTTACCAGCTCTGGCTGAAAGTTGGCCACTGTGGGCGGCCCAGTAACCTTTCACAGGAGAAGGGCACTTGACGTTACAAGTGTGTCCAGTTCCTAGTTGGCCTCTGGCTCCACAACCAAATGCATAGATGAGTCCAGAAGAAGGCACAAAGGCTAGGGTGTGTTGTCTGGGGGAAATAACATAAGTTAACCCAACAGCATTGCTTCTACTGATAATGAATGAATACACACACTGACTTTTAACAACCATATGTGAGCACAGTAATTCCTACAGGTGACCCCAGAAGCCTACCCCCTCATGTTTACACATGCTTGTTTTTGCAATGCTGGATCTTCATACCACCCTTCACTGATATACTAGGTCATTGGGATGGGGGTAAGACCTGGAAAGAGTTTAAGGGCCTGCTGCATTTGGGATGAACAGAAAGAGGCAGGGAAAATCAGCAAAATTTCCAAGATTTCTTTGAGGCTCTCTCACTTTCCTTTCTACATGTCTCCCTCATGTCAGGCTATCCTTTATCCCCAAAGAACTATACTGGCCCCATGTAGCTCTGCTTCTCTAAAACCCTTCCTTGCCACACCCTGCTCAGATTGAACTCTCTCCAAATTTTCAACATAGGTATGCATGCAGTTGATTTCTTAAAACAACGCTGGTTAGGAGTAGCCACATCACTACAAAGCAAGATCCATTTCTGAGTCTTAATAGATCTGAGGAAGTTCTTAGGAGCACTCACCTGCCACAAGCAATTTGAGTGACTTCACTGCCCATCAGCTCCAGAACTCTTCTTGGATTGACCTCATCATTCATGGAATCATGTCCAAGTTGCCCACAGGAACCAGCACCAAAGGTAAACACACCTCCACTCTAACAAGGAGCAAACACCACATAAGTGCACTGTGTCTCTCAGTTTGGATACACTCCTCTTAACTTCTGTATACAAAATTCATATCACAACAGTCTGTACAAGAACACTATGCCCGCTTGACTCTTAGACAAATCACTTCTTTGGAATGTTCTCTAAATAGAAAAGAGAATTTTAAAACAGAATTTAAGACTACATCTTTATGGAACAAAGACAGTACTGTTCAAGGGAATGTGTGCCATCTATATATACATTTTAAAAGTAGTTTAAAAGTACAACCATGTTAATAAACAGGAATACAAAAAAAGGAGAAAAAGGTAGGTGAAATGAGATGAACTTTACATGACTATTCTTATGTAAGAAATTAAATGCTCCACAGATTCTTTAGTAAGATTTTTTTTTTAGCAGCTATACTTGAACAAACACTAAAGCATTTTATTAAAGTGAATCTATAACAATTTGTTCAACATGAAAACACTTTTTCATTCTTTCTAGATATGACTGTCTTAGAAGCAAAAGAAATAGGTTGAATAATGTTAAAACATTAATTACACTGCTCTTTCTTTTTTCATCATTCAGTTGCTCAGTCATGTCCAACTCTTTGTGACCCCACCGACTGCAGCCCTCTAGGCTTCCCTATCCTTCACCATCTCCCAGGGTTTGCTCCAACTCTTGTTCATTGAGTCAGTGATGCCATCCAACCATCTCACCCCGCCTTTAATCGTTCCCAGCATCAGGATCTTTTCCAATGATTTGACTCTTCCCATCAGGTGGTCAAAGTATTGGAACTGCAGCATCAGCATCAGTCCTTTCAGTGAATATTCAGGGTTGATTTCCTTTAGGATTGACTGGTTTGGTCTCTGCTGTCAAAGGGAGTCTCAAGAGTCTTCTCCAGCACCACAGTTGGAAGGCATCATTCTTAGGTGCTCAGCTTTATTTATGGTCCAACTCTCACGTCCATATATGACTACTGGAAAAACCATAGCTTTGACTAGATGGATCTTTGTTGGCAAAGTAATATCTCTGCTTTTTAATATGCTGTCTAGGTTTGTCATTGCTTTTCTTTCAAGGAGCAAGTATCTTTTAATTTCATGGCTGCAGTCACCGTCCACAGTGATTTTGGAACCCAAAAAAATAAAAGTCTCTCACTGCTTCCATTGTATCTCCATCTATTTACATGAAGTGACAGGACCAGATGCCATGATCTTCATTTTTTGAATGTTGAGTTTTAAGACAATTTTTTCACTCTCCTCTTTCACCTTCATCAAGAGGTTCTTTAATTCCTCTTCACTTTCTGCCATAAGGGTAGTATCATCTGCACATCTGAGCTTATTGGTATTTCTGCCTGCAATGTTGATTACAGCTTAGGAACACAGAATATCACTATATGTATTTCAAGGTTATCGATATAGAATTATTTTTATATACTATTCCTACTCTAAAAGACACTATCAAAAATAATCAAGCAGTGATAATCATCCTTATTATAACAGTACCATAGAACAAACCAGAATACTGAAGTCCCTTACTTTTGTAAGAACTGCTGTATGTTCTTCTCCACAACTGATATAGACGACTTTCTGTGTTCGCAGGAGCTTCACATGGCAAGGAGACTCTCGATCTAGAAAAAGAGAAATATCAGAAAGTCAGTATCATCTATCTTTGAGATGAAATATGCACAGTTCTCTTAGCCTCAATTTTGGGTCCCCCTTGATTCCTGATTCTCCTCTTCAGCTTGCTGCCTGAACCTCCACTTGGATGTCTAACAGACATCTCATTTTTAACATATTTAAAGCCCAATTCCCCACACTCCCCGACTCTGCCCACCTTCCTCCCTACTTCCCCATACAGTTTTCCTCATTTCATAAATGCAGCTTTACCCTTCCACTTTTTCCTCTAATTCAAAGTACATCCAACAATGAGGAAAAACAACTGGCCCTACCTTCAGAATATATTCAAAACCCATCTTTATTCCCACTGCCTCCAAAGTGGTCTTCTAGCTGCCCCGTGGCCCGATTCTAGGCAAAGTCAAATCAGATTACTCTTCCCCTCAACACCCTCGGTGTCCTCCTCTTTCACCGAGAGAAGCCGAAATCCTTACCCTGTCCTTCAGGGCCCTACACTGCAGGGGCTCCCTTCCTCTCAGAGCTCCAGCTCCGCTACTCTTCGCCCTGCTCATCTCATCCCCAAGTCTACCATGATTGCTCCCACATCAGAGCCTCTGCACACCCTGTTCCCTCTGACCCGGAACAGTTTTCACCCAGCTCCTCCAAACACCTCCTCTTCTACTGGACTTCCTACAGGGCTCTGCTAAACATCTTATTCAAGAGGCCCTCCCTGGGTACCTTATGTAAAATAGGAAACTTTCCTCTCAAAGCCTCTGACATACTGCATACATTTGTTCTTGTTCAGTCCTGTCTGACTCCTTGAGACCCTACAGACTGCAGCACGCCAGGTTTCCCTGTCCTTCACCATCTCCTGGAGCTTGCTCAAACTCATATCCATAGTGTCAGTGATGCCATCAAACCATCTCATCCTCTGTCACCCCCTTCTCCCCTTGCCTTCAATCGTTCCCACCATCAGAGTCTTTTCCAATGATTCAGTTCTTCGCATCAGGTGGCCAAAGTATTGGAGCTTCAGCATCAGTCCTTCCAATGAATATTCAGGGTTGATCTCCTTTACAATTGACTGGTTTCATCTCTTTGCTGTCAAAGGGAGTCTCAAGAGTCTTCTCCAACACCACAGTTCAAAAGCATCAATTATTCAGTGCTCATCCTTCTTTACGGTCCAACTCTCATGTCCATACATGACTACTGGAAAAACCATAGCTTTGACTAGATGGACCTCAGTCGGCAAAGTAATGTCTCTGCTTTTTAATATGCTGTCGAAGGTCAGTCACAGCTTTTCTTCCAAGGAGCAAGCATCTTTTAATTTCATGGCTGCAGTCACCATCCACAGTGATTTTGGAGCCCAAGAAAACAAAATCTGTCACTGTTTCCACTGTACACATACTGGCTGGTTGTCTGTGTCTGCCCATTAGCATGCAGTCTCCACTAAGTCAAGGGTATTATCTGTTTTGGTCCTTGCTGCACCCTTAGTGCCTGACACGGGGCAAGCACACAGAAGCTCCTCAGGAAGCATGTACTAAACAAATGAAGTTAAGAGGGCCACGTGAAGACTTCACCCACCTTTCTCATCACTGAGCCCGAGCTGCCCTGCATTATTCATCCCCCAGCCAAATACAGCTCCTGAGAGTGACAGGGCAAAGCTGTGGGCCCCTCCTGCGGCCACTTGCGCCAGCGGGATCCCCTCCAGGGACCTCACCCTCTGTGGACTGGCTTGGGAAGGGAACTCCTTCCCCAGGCCCAACTGCCCGTGGCTGTTTCTCCCCCACGTGAAGAACTGGCCATCTGAAATCAGAAGAAGATAACTGGTATTACCAGAAAGATACAAGTTCCATTCACAAATATAAACTGATTAGAACAACAGAGTTCCCCTGAGGCTCACTTGTTGTTGCCCCCCCCTGCAACACACACCCAAGAGCAAGGAAGCAGACACACTTCATGGTGTGAGAATCTCACCATCAGAACTCCCACTTGTCATGATAACACAGAGATCAACACCCTTCAAAGGCCATTAATATTTATGCAAAGAAAAAACTAAATGTTTAAATCAGTTCAGTGTTGAATAGGCCAATTATCAGGCTTAGATGCACTAAGCAAAGGGAACTAGTTCTGACCATACCAGGACTACAAGAGACACGGGACTTCACAGGGTCCAGCTATGATCCGGACAACACCACAGAGAATCAGGCAGGACGTGTTAGTGCTGACTTCCCCACAAATTTATCCTAACAGAATATAGCAGCATATGTTGGCTTAGGTTTTCCTAACTTCATCTTCTTCATTTATTTGGGTGCTTTATGGGGGAATAGCCATATGAGTTGTAGCTAATAAAAACCAATCCCCTGTTCAAGTACACTGATGAACAGTCTTGCCTCCTGCTGACTTTCCCTGAGAGGTGGAACAGCAGTGATAACCACCTTCTTCATCATCCACACCCTGGGAAAAGTATGAGCTACACAAGGGCTGTCTTAGAACTGTCTCTGTCCAACAGGAATGCATAGACCCTAACTAGTTAGTTAAATGTCTCCGGTTCCATCACATCACATAAAAATACAAAGAGAAATGGTTCCCAAATTAACACAACACTAGCATAGATTTTAACGTTACATTACCAGCTCCAAGAGCCAAGCAATGCCAGTTGCCACAGGAAACTTGTAATATTGTCTGCTGGTTCAGCTTTTGTATTAACCTAAAACAGAAAAGACTTTCCTTTTAAGAAGGGCATTCACAATGACTGGAAATATTCCCAACTAAATAAAATAGTTGTAATAAATAACATGTTTCACAAAACACTTTTTAAAATCAAATATATGATCTTACATGATAAAGTTCTATTAAGTCTTTCACTAACCTCCTGCATCTTTGGTAGTTACCATTTAAAAGAAAGAAACCCTGCTCTGCACTTAAACCCATGACCACAACCCTGTGTTAATTTCTACCTTGTCATCTCCAATTTATAGACAAAAGGTGCCAAAGACATACCCTAAGAACATGGTTGGTATCTAAATGGCTTTCAAACGAGAGAAATGGCATGATCTAGCAACCTCACTTCCAGGTACAAAACCAAATGAACTGAAAGCAGGGTCCCAAAGAGATATCTGTATACCCATATTCATAGCACCATTATTCACAAAAGCTGTAAGGTGGAAGCAACCCAACTGTCCATCAACCGATGACCAGAAAAACAAATGTGGTATATACATTTGGAATATGTATACAATGGAATATTCATCACACTCTTTAAGAATGGAAATTCTGACACATGCTACAATGTGGATGAAACCTGGAATTATGCCTAGTGAAATAAGCCAGTAACAAAAAGACAAATAGTCCATGGTTCCATTTACATGACATATCTAGACTAGCCAAATTCATACAAATCAAAAGTCTAATGGTGCCTGCCAGGGGCTAGATGAGGAGAAATGAGTTTTCATTTAATGAGTGTTGAGTTCTATTTCTACCAGAAAAACAGTTCTGGAGATTGGTCACACAACCGTGTGAATATACACACACTAATAGTTCAATACACTATTGAACTGTACACTTAAAATGGTTAGGATGGTAAATTCTTTTAATTTTTTTATTTATGTATTTTTGGCTGTGTTGGGTCTTTGTTGCTGCGAGAGCTCTTCTCTAGTTGCAGTGAACAGGGGCTACTCTTCATAGCCTTGCATGGGCTTCTCATTATAGTGGCTTCTCTCATTGCAGAGCATGGGCTCTAGACACATAGACTTCAGTAGTTACAGTGCATGGGCTCAGCAGTTGCAGTTCCTGGGCTCTGAACAGGCTCGGTAGTTGTGGCCCATGGGCTTAGCTGCTCCACGGCATGTAGATTCGTCCACTGGCAGGTGGATTCCTTACCACTGAGCCACCAAGGAAGCCCACAATGGTAAATTTTATGTTAGGTGTATTTTGCCACAACTTTTAAAAATTACTAAGGGCAATGCTTCCAAAACTCTTGATTCCCTAGGATGGTAAAGAGGAAGATCATATGATCACTTTTTAAAACTCGATCCTCCACCAGCCCAGGTGGGATGCATGAGACAAGTGCTCGGGCCTGGTGCACTGGGAAGACCCAGAGGAATAGGGTGGAGAAGGAGGTGGGAGGGGGGATCGGGATGGGGAATACATGTAACTCCATGGCTGATTCATGTCAACGTATGACAAAACCAACTGAAATGTTGTGAAGTAATTAGCCTCCAACTAATAAAAATAAATGGAAAAAAAAAAGAAAATATAGTTAAACAAACATACATGCACAAAGAAAATAAAAATTGTCATAGTTTCACCACTCAGCAATCATTACAATTAATACTTGGGTATCAACCATCTCTGTGCTGACCCATCTGTAACACCAAAATGGAAGCAGGCAGTAAACATTGCTTGCAATCATGAGAAGTACATTCTTTTGGTAATATATGGATGCCTTTGCCGTTCCAGCTCTTATGCAGGATGAGACTCAGTAAGCCTTAATTAAACACGTGGTTTAATTAAGGAATATAAGAGAAATATAGAAATATAAGAGTAGATTCCTAGCCCCAAAGAGTTCACTTACACCAAATATGTATGTTCAGAGTTTGGTAACCTGATTTATCTGATTACAACAAGCACAATTTAACGGTGCCTTTTTCCTCTTTGTCACCTTGTATTATAAACATAGGGATACCATTTTTAATGGCAGTGTCTTACTTTTTATTTATCCCCAATTCTCTCCTTTTGAAACTACAATTTCCCACTTAGTTGCAAAATGCACATTATCAGCAGAGATCAAAGGATCAAAAGTCCCATCCTCACAGAAACTTAAATTCATTTCTACTTTTTCATGAGTCTTTGTCCCTAAACTGTAGCAATAACTTTCTCATATTAAAAAAAAAAAATACTATACAAACAGAAAAAAAAATAAAAAATAAATAAAACTCGATCCTCTGCTTGCATATATGAAAGAGATAAGAACAGTACCTATTCACAGGGTTGTGGTGAGAATTAAGTGAAAAAAATGTTTGGCACTGCCCAATAGAGTTTGACAGCCTGAGAAATATCTCCTGCTTCCTATTTTAATAATTCATAGGTTGCCAAGTTCGTCTTCATTAAGTGTATGCCATGGGAACAAAAGACACAGAGGGGCATTTTACAAGATAGATGTCCAACAGGGAAATCGGGGGTTATTTAGAGTAACAGGTAAATGTTGCTTTAACAGTTTATTTTCTCAGATATAGAAAAAGTTTATAAATTAGAGTTCACATATGCATTTAGTACCAAATAGAACCCAACTATTTTTTATGGAGATAATTGTAAATTCACAGGCAGTTGTAAGAAATAATATAGAGATCCCTTGTAGGCTTTATGCAGTCTCCCCCAGTGATGGCATTTTGCAAAACTATAGAACAAAAAAAATCGTAACAGGGATACTGACAAAAATACAAACTACCAATCTCACTTCTTTGTCCCCAGTTTTATTTGTACTCATTTCTGTGTTTATAGCATTTCTGTCACCTATGTAGGCTCATGCATCCACCACCATATTCAACGTTTTCAACCCAAGGATTCCTCATATTTACAACCACTCCTCCCCTCCTCCATCATAGCGCCTGGCAATCATTAATCTACCTGTCATTTCCAAAATGTTGTCACTTAAAGAATGTTATGTAAATGGAATCATATAGTAGGCAGCCTTTTAGGATTGGGTTCTTTTTCACTCAGAATAATTCCCTGGACATTTGATATACAATATAGAACAAAAAAATCGTAACAGGGATACTGACAAAAATACAAACTACCAATTTCACTTCTTTGTCCCCAGTTTTATTTGTACTCATTTCTGTGTTTATAGCATTTCTGTCACCTATGTAGGCTCATGCATCCACCACCATATTCAACGTTTCCAACCCAAGGATTCCTCATATTTACAACCACTCCTCCCCTCCTCCATCATAGGCCCCGGCAATCATTAATCTACCGGTCATTTCCAAAATGTTGTCACTTAAAGAATGTTATGTAAATGGAATCATATAGTAGGCAGCCTTTTAGGATTGGGTTCTTTTTCACTCAGAATAATTCCCTGGACATTTGATATACACGCAACCATTTTTTTGCTGCATATATCAACAGCTTGTAGAATTCCGCTATTTTTAAAAAGCATTTATTTTCTTTATGGCTGTGCTGGGTCTTCATTGCTCCGCAGGCTCTTCTCTAGCTGGGGCCAGCAGGGGCTACTCTCGAGTTGCCGTGTGCAGGCTTCTTACCGCGGTGGCTTCCCCTGTTGTGGAGCACAGGCTCCAGGACATGCCTGGGTTCAGCGGCTGTGACCCCCAGGGGCTAGAGCACAGGCTCCAGGACATGCCTGGGTTCAGCGGCTGTGACTCCCAGGGGCTAGAGCACAGGCTCCAGGACATGCCTGGGTTCAGCGGCTGTGACTGCCAGGGGCTAGAGCACAGGCTCCAGGACATGCCTGGGTTCAGCGGCTGTGACTCCGGGGGCTAGAGCATAGGCTCCAGGACATGCCTGGGTTCAGCGGTTGTGACTCACAAGGGCTAGAGCACAGGCTCAACAGTTGTGACGCAGGGGCTTAGTTGCTCTGCAGATGTGGGGTCTTCCCAGACCAGGGGTCAAATCCTTGTCTCCTGCACTAGCAGGCAGGTTCTTTACCACGGAACCACCAGGGCAGCCCAGAAACCCACTATTTTTTAAAACTGAAAAAAGTCATCCTGTCTTAGGGACCAATGTTTCAGAACTTTATGCAACAAGAGTCCTTTTCCTGGCCAGTTTCCTTGCAAATTCCCCACACTTCTCCATTTATGGGTCACCCTTACCCTTATCACAACCTTCACAATCACAGTTACAAAAAAAAAAGGTCAAAAGAAAGAAGACAATAAGAAATTGTATCATAAGATGGAGAAAAGGAGCCATATATGCACAAGCATACACTGTGTTTTACCTACCCATCTTACTCTATCCTCCCAACAACTTGGTAAAGGTAAACAATACTACATAACTTCACTTTTAAGTTAGGAAACTGAGGCTCAGATAAGTTAAACAATTTGCTCAAAGCAACTCACCTAATATGAAATAGAGCCAATACTGGAATCTGAGGCTGTCTAATATCAAAGCTATGTTACTTTCCACAATATTAAGATAGGAATTGATGAGTTTATCTTAATTAACTTGTAAAATTATATACAAACTAAAGCCTCAGAAGTCATCCATAATATATGCATAACTAATAAAAACAATAATAAATTGCTACTCTAACACAGACTACTTCATTTTTTGAAATGAAATGCCACTAATGACTTTACTTGAGTATTTGTTCATCAACGAGTGAAATATTTTTGTCATGAATATTGTAAATCTTTTCCTTAATATTACATGCAATTCACTAAAATAAACCATCCCTTTTTTTAAATTTCCACTCATCTTCTTCTCCCAAAATTAAACTAAGTGTTGAAAGTAATGAATCTAAGACATTACCTGTTCCAACTCAGGAAATGAATCAAATTACTCTTACCTCCATGTTTCTCTTTTCCCTAAAACAGCTTTTGATTAAAGAGACAAAAATCTAAGAAGGGCAAAACGGAGGAGGAGGAAGAATGTATTGTGCTTCAAAAGGGACAATACCTGGGCAGGGGAAGAGAGGCCATTTATTAACCAGACCTATACTGAGCCATGCATGTGCTAGAGCACCCTTAGCAATGGTGATGCTAAAATAAATAATCCAGTTCTCCTGGCATCAAGAGCTCCCAGCTTTGTACTAAAATTAGTTATTAAATTAAAAATTGCAATGAATGTGACTAGTACTGCAATAGGAGAACGTTGTACATTTGAAGTACAAAGGACTAGGAATTAAATGAAGGAAATAAACCAGTGGCCTCTTTGACCATTAAGAACCCTCAACAAACAGACGCCACCCTCAAAATGTCCCCTTGAGAGTAACTTCAATACTACGGACATTTTCTTAGTGGTGAAGCATCTGTTAGATAATTAGCCAAATCATCTAAGATTTTGTTGCTGTTTAGTTGCGAAGTGGTGTCTGACTCTTTTGTGACCCCATGGACTACAGCCTGCCAGGCTCCTCAGTCCATGGGATTCTCCAGGCAAGGATACTGGAGTGGGTTGCCCTTTCCTTTTCCAGGGAATCTTCCTGACCCAGGGATCAAACTTGAGTCTTCTGCATTGGCAGATGGATTCTTTACCACTGAGCCACCGGTGAAGCCCTTCATAAAAGATTTAGAACTAAGTAAACACTTAAGGGACTAAAAACCATTGTATTAGTACTTCTGTGTTAAAGAACTTATGTGTATTTGGTATATTAGCTGTTGATAATGCTGAAGGTAATTTGACCTATTATTAAAGAGTAACAGGTCAGCTTTGTGACTGACCTTTCAAGTGTCTAACTGAATAATTGATTTAGGCTTGCAATTTTAAGTTAAAGGTTAGTAAGTGCAGCATGTGAAAAGAGGTTTTTTAATCTGAACATTTAATGAGCTCCAAACACTACCAACAACAGGCTATTGGGATAAATGAAGTATAGTTCCCAAACAACTCATATTTTTTAACTGGAGATAAGCACTTCTATTGGGCTCCCCCTGTGGCTCAGCTGGTAAAGAATCCGCCTGCAGCTCGAGAGACCTCGGTTCAATCCCTGGGTTGGGAAGATCCCCTGGTGAAGGGAAAGGCCAGTATTCTGGCCTGAAGAATTTCATGGACTGTGTAGTTCATGGGCTCGCAGAATCGGACACAGCTAAGCGACTTTCAAACACTTCTACAATTACAATTCTGGGGGTGAGTGTTGTAACAGTATAAGGCATGACAGTGACTCAAAGGAAAGAACAATTATTAACAAAAGAAGAAACCAGAATCCAAACCAAGGAGTCTAACAAAGAAACTAGCAGAAATAACCTTTACAGTAACTGACATTCTTACCTGGGTACTGCCACAGAATCCTCAGTAGTCATGAGTCCCAGCTGCCCATCACTACCTGCACCCCAGGAAAACAGCTGGCCCTGGTCACTGAGGGCCAGACTATGGGACTCGCCACATGCCACATGGACAATGTGCTGATCTGCCAAAGCTCCAATTTGCTCTGAAAAAAAGAACAAAATCAAAGGAGGAAAATGTAAAGCCCAGAAAAAGGAATTACACAGAATTAGCATCCAAGGCAGTTGCGTTTTTCAAAGAGAACCACTACATCTGTATGGAGAATACAAATTTTCTATGTTTCTGAAAGCTATCAATTTAGACCCCAGCTATACTGGGCAGCGCACACACTCCAGACGTTCCCTCCTGTGTCTGGTGCTTCTCCCTAGAAAGATGCCTTAAAGAGTCAGTATTTGGAGGTGTGGGACCAGAGAGGACTCAGTGTAAGTAGGAGTCAGGCTTGTTCCTAAAAGCAGTGGGACTGAGGGAGATTCTGCCTGGGAGCAATGAGCCCTTCCCCATCCACAAAAACACCCTTTTCTCCTCAGTTCTATAACACAAGTCTGTCTATGCATCTAGCCAGGAGGATTTCTGAGAAAACTGGCCCAAAAGAAAAGACCCACGGCTACTGGCAATGCTGGGTCCCCCTAGGAAATGTTCAGCTTCCCACTAGTTAACAAAACTTGCCCATATACTGTTCTGCTTACATTTTAGGATCTCACTTTTAAAAATAAAAGGCTGGACAAGGACAATCACATATGTGAAGACCATTTAACAATAAAATTAAACAGCAAAGAAAACAGAAGGAAGGAAACTCTGAAGAAAATGATCAAGCAAGGAACAGAAAAAAAATCTTTAGATCATTAGCAATACAAGACAAGAAGCTTCCAACCTTCAGAAAACAAACAAAATTACCTTGGAAAATGAAAATGTAACAGCACAAATTTAAAGGAAAAAGCTTCAGAAGCAGGATGGGAAATAATAATTGACATTTTCTAAGAAATAAAACAAGAAGTCAAAGACCAAAACAGGCGGAAAAAGAAGAAAGAAATGAAACTATTTCAAGAAACTCAACAACGGAAAAATAAGAATCCCCAAAACAGAATGGAAAAAAACAAAGTAGAAATTTTCAAAGACAGGATTGCTCATAACTGAAAGACATGAGTTTCACATTGAAAAGACTGATTTAAAACCTCAGAATAAAGAGAATAAGGACTGAATTTTAAAAAGAAGAACTACTTCAGAACACTACCACTTGAAATTTCACAACACCAAAAAAGACTCTAAAATTTTCTAGAAAGGACAGTTTATATACAATTGAACAGGAATCAGAATGGCATCATATGTCTCAGAAGCAATTATGAAAGCTAGAAAGACACTAGAGCAATGCCTTCATAATTCTGAAGGAAAATGACTTCTAACAGAGAATTTCATATCTAGCCAACCAAAAGGGCTTCCCTTGAGGCTCAGTGGTAAAGAATCTGCCCAGCAATGCAGGAGACATGGGTTTGATCCCTGGCTCAGGAAGATCCCATAGAAAAAGAAATGGAAACCCACTCCAGTATTCTTGTCTAGGAAATCCCATGCATGGAGGAGCCTGACAGGCTGCAGTTAATGGGATCACAAAAGAATTGGACGTGACTTAGCAACTAAACAAGAACAGCAGCAGCCAACCAAAAATCTGAGAGGAGAGGGGAAAGAAGAACAATTTTCAGGGATGTAAATTTCTCAAAATATTTTCCCTCCTATCTCAGTTACATAATATCATACCTCCAGAACAACAACGAAAAGATTCTGGATTCAGGAAAGGGTGAAAACTATTTCCATGACAGCTATGCAGCAGCCAATGGAGGAAAATTGGAAGGAATGTCTCCAAAGTGAAAAATGACATACAATCTGATGAGTTTGTATTACATGAGCTTTACAGTTCTGCCAGAGAATAAAGATTACATGCAAATGAGAAAAAAGAAATAATTAACTCCAGGAAACACTAAACGCTTTACCAGAAATAAGAACAATCATGGTACACAGTCATAATAACCAAATAAATATAATTTATTAATTTACATAGTTAAATCTGTCAATCAATTTAAAATATCAACTACATGGAAAAGATGAGTATCTAGGAGTAAGAAAGAGGAAAGGCTGGGCGGAGAATATAAAACCAGAGTAATCTTTCCCAGTAGGAAGCCTCTAGATCATGTCCAATATTGAAAAAAATCAAGAAATAGCATTACAAGCATGTTATTTAAAAATATAAAGGCAAACTCCCCCCAAAAAGTTTTAAGAATTGAAAGTGATGGCCTCTGCAAGTGAGACTCAAGGATGGGGACAGGAGAGGTAAGGAGGTGTTATTTGACCTAAACTGAGGTCAAATAACATATAATTTTTCTTTTTAATTAAGCAGCTGAAAACATGCTCATGTCAGAGAAATCTCCTGAATTATCTCAGCTGCTTTCATTCCCACAACCATCTCCTTTACCCTCTACTCGCCATTAGGCCCTAACTCCCAACTCAGTCTTGTCCCCCACACTAAGAACGGTCCTGTATTTACTTTGGGAAAACTAAGAAACTCCTACCAAAGTAGCTCAGGTGAATCAGATTCTTTCTTCCTTCACCAAATTTCCACACTGTACTGTAGTTCTAGGACTTCAGCAGCTTTTACGTTCTCTTAAAGAATTGAAAGTGATGGCCTCTGCAAGTGAGACTCAAGGATGGGGACAGGAGAGGTAAGGAGGTGTTATTTGACCTAAACTGAGGTCAAATAACATATAATTTTTCTTTTTAATTAAGCAGCTGAAAACATGCTCATGTCAGAGAAATCTCCTGAATTATCTCAGCTGCTTTCATTCCCACAACCATCTTCTTTACCCTCTACTCGCCATTAGGCCCTAACTCCCAACTCAGTCTTGTCCCCCACACTAAGAACGGTCCTGTATTTACTTTGGGAAAACTAAGAAACTCCTACCAAAGTAGCTCAGGTGAATCAGATTCTTTCTTCCTTCACCAAATTTCCACACTGTACTGTAGTTCTAGGACTTCAGCAGCTTTTACGTTCTCTTGTGCCTGAGTGCCAGGCTCCTGATACCTCACCAGAACCAAGAGCTGCAGCCCTGATAGCTGACCTCCTATGCCAACCATTAGCCTTTCCTGCCTGGATGTCAATGTACAGCGTTGTTACGGTGGTTGTTCAGTCGCCAAGTCACGTCTGACCCTTTGCAGCCCCATGGACTGCAGCACACCAGCCTTTCCTGTCCTTCACCATCTCCCAGAGTTTGCTCAAGCTCATATCCTTTGAATTGGTGATACCATCCAATCATCTCATCCTCTATTGTTCCCTTCTCCTCCTGCCCTCAATCTTTCCCAGCATGAGGGTCTTTTCCAATGAGCTGGACTTTGCATCAGGAGGCCAAACTATTGGAGCTTCAGCTTCAGCATCAGTTCCTCAGATGAATATTCAGGGTTACATTCCTTTAGGATTGACTGGCTTGATCTCTTTGCTATTCAGGGGATTCTCGAGTCTTCAATTACCTGCCAATCCTGATGAAACTGGAAACTTTACTGATGAAGTAAGTAAGCAAAGTCAAGTCAAGGGACAACAAACTCATCTTTAAACTTGGAAAGGAGCAATTGTGTCAGCCTTCTTTCTGGTCCAACTCTCACACCCATACATGATTACTGGGAAAACCATAGCTTTGAATACATGGACCTTTGTTGGCAAAGTGATGTCTCTGCTTTTTAATATGCTGTCTAGGTTTGTCACAGCTTTTCTTCCAAAGAGCAAGCCCTAGNCCTTTGTTGGCAAAGTGATGTCTCTGCTTTTTAATATGCTGTCTAGGTTTGTCACAGCTTTTCTTCCAAAGAGCACGCCCTAGGCAAACCAATTCCTGTCTCATCACACATCAGCCACCAAAATAGACACAGAACCCCTATTTCACCATAACACAAGTTGCAACCCCAAAGGCAGAGGTACCATTCAGTAATGCAAAGATTTGTAGAGAACTAAATCCTAGTTGTATCAAGTCCAATTTATTTCATTTCTCCTAGCCAGAAAACTAAGCTCATCTGATTCATACTAGGAATCTGTTACAGTGAAATTTTAATTGCTGTTCTAGAATCTACTCCCTGGGTCAACTGAGAATACTGTGTTCACAGCTCTCACTGAATACACCCCTGCCCCAGTTGGGAGCATTCAGGCTACAGTGCACATGTTCATGCGTAATCTCTTCTGATTCATTTTGTCAAGACTGTATGCTATATTTTGCAGATAATGACAGAAACTCAACCCACACATTTAGATAATTAAACACACTAAGGAAATATTTGGCATTTTTTGACAATAAAAGTATATTTTATTTCTGATCCTTTCACAAGAAGCAATTTAAGATCTTTAGAAGTCTTCAGCAAGGTTAGCGACTCTAAATGAGCCAAGGTAATAGGACAGAACAGCAGCAAATGTGGAATGATGCTTAGGGCAAGAAAGCACTTCAACTGCACTCAGTTTTTTAGGATTACTGCTAGTTGGCTATTGAGCCCATCATGATTTTTTAATGTGTTTTTAAACTAATAGTAAGTTGGGCAGTGAACCATCATAGGGTAGTAATGAAGGATGTTACGTGCCTGGAAGGCAGATGGATGCTGCTCGTGTGAACTTAATCCTTGCAACAATCCTGTAAGGTTTCACCTCTCTAATAACCCCGGCTGAGAAAAAGTGTGTAATCTGGTCAGAGTACACAACAAAATGAGTGGTGGAGCTAGGAGTGGATCCCAGGTACTCCTGACTTCCAAGCCCATTATATCCACAAGTCTGTATCATCTACCCTCATGGAAAAGAACTAGGTGATTTTAAATCAGTAACAGTCACTACCCTTACTGTCTGTTCCAATGAGAAATGTTATCGAGTGGTATGAGCAGTTTGGGTGAAGGGTATATAGAATATATAAAATTAGTAATCAATATTTGGTACTCGATTTTTCATAAAACTTAAAGTAAGTTAAATGTCAGCAGTTAGCATGACAAAAGGGATTAAACTTTCATCACTTAGATGTCTCCTGAGTTGCCCCAAGCTATCTACACTTTCTATTTAATAGAAGTCAACAAAGACAGAACCACACTGTAGGAAACCCACGCTCCAAGCTGCCATTCTGTGGATTCCAAGTCCTCATA